ATGAAGCGCCGAAAGGAGGAAATCGCCGGGTCCGTCCCTTTGTGTTGCTCCCTCCTGCCCCACAAACGCGATCCTGTTGGCTCACATGGCAGCATTCGTTGCAATGATGCAGGAGCTCTTCGTCGGCCTTGAGTTTGTTCGGTCCGACGGGGAGCGAAGTGTGTGCCTGGTGCGCCTCGCACTGTCACAGGTATGTGCTCCCGGTTGTTTTTGTTGTTTCACCCATCTCGTCCTGCCTTCTGACGTCCTTTTCCTTTCACATCGTGCAGAGGCCACCCACTGTCGTACAACCGACACGCAATGGCCGGAGCCGTGTTGTTTTCCTTCCTCTCGACCACTGCCGTTTCCTCTCGACACTGCACCTGCGGCGTATGTGGCCACGCTTCTCGGTACGTGCTGATTGCACAGCTGCTCAAAGGTGCTCAGCGTTGACAGCTGTTTGACTGTTTTTGTGTTGTTGGTGCTGTAGGGCCTTGGAGCGGTCCTCAATCATCTCCATTGAAGGAGACAAGTGCTCTTATGAAGTCGTATTGTCACCCGCTCCGCCTATGTGTCGTGCGTCGATCAGCGTTGTGGCTAGTTGTGTGTGGTTGGTGGCGCATGTGCTAACTCGACGATGACTGGCAGGTGGGAGAGGGCAGGAGCGTGTGGCAGCGTCATGTCTACTGTCAGACATGCGCAAACTTTGATCAGGTGAACGACCCCATTTGCATGGCGTGCGCTCGCCGCTGCCACGCCGGGCACGCGCTCGTAGCGGCGAGCGCCGCTGATGACGTGACTTGTCAGTGCGGTGTCAAGCACCACAAATGCCGGTACCGCCTTGCTTTTGATGTGTGGTATGAAGAAACTCGCCGTGGCGCTAACATCACCGCATGGAATATCACCACGCCAGATCGCGTGAGGAGATGGCGAGACGAAACGAGGAAAAGCACCAATTCCTGGAGGACCTGCTCAGACTAAGTGCGCGGGTATAGCCTCCAACTGTGCAACAGCGTGCTTGATGCAATTTTCGTTTCGATTAACGTCAACAATCAACACACATCATCATCATCATCGCGTCAGGCGCTCATTGGTGAGCGCGTGCCACTGTGGTCGAGACAGTACTTCCGCCTCACCAGGGAGGAATACCTACGCGACCTCGAGCAGCTTGAGAGCGGCGAAGAGGTGCGCTCTTCTATCTATCTCGCTTAGAACCCGCGTAGCACACGTGCGCGTGGCGTGTTGCGCGGCTTTACTTCTAACCAACAATCATCGCCACGCGGTGCAGAGCGAGGCCGTTTGGCGAGCGAAGCACGCCGCAGAAGAGGACAAGCTGAACAGCAAGGTGTCTCGAATGTTTGCTTGCTTCTTCGCGTCGGGCGAGCTTGGTACGGACAGGGCATCACTTTCGCGCATGACCCGCCCTACGTAGGCTCACACGCGCGCATGCACGCACACAGATCCGGAGGTGTTCGATCTCTTAGCTGATTTGGTCGCCGAAGAGAGTGGCGGTGAGATTACCCTACGACGGCCCACCGGTACGTCTCGTCTCAACGTGCCGATGCACAGTGGAGAGGTGGAGGGGTGCATCATGATGGCGGTAATAGTGAAGGAGTCGCTCATCACCTCATTCATTACGGCCCCGATAGATACCGAGTTGGAGGACTTGGCGGGAGCGTTCGGCGAGAGCTCTTACTACGCCCTGCTTTGCTCGCCGACGTCACGCCCCTTTCCCAGGGAAGGCAAGGGTCTGCTCATCCTCCCCAATCCTCCTCACTTCTACTTCTTCTGAGCCCAGAGCCTTCTGCTTCATCGAGAAACGCGTTGTGCAGCCCTTGAGCGTGAGAGAGGCATTTCTTTCCGTGTTTCTTGGCCAAGCGCGCCTGTCGACCAATTTCGGGCTTTGGTTGCTGGTTGGTCCGAGAGCGCCCCCAACTACCACAGATCTGCACATTCATTCATCAACACATTACACAACCACTTGTCACGTTACACATTTCACTACGACATGGGAGACGAGGCTGCTGAGAACCTTCGCTTGATGATCGAGTTTGCCAAGAGGGGCCAAATTCCCCAGATCGAGGGCTTCCTCGATGAGCAGGTGCCGATCAATGGAGTCGACCATTTGGGCTGCACAGGTAAGTGGGCCAAGGGGGTTCATTTTGTTCTCATTGTTTAATTATGGCCGCATTATCAGTGCAACGCCTCAACGAGTTGTTCCCATCTAAACTTTTACACGTTCTACTTCTCGTCAGCGCTCCACTGGGCTGCCAGCGGCGGTCACGCTGAGGCCATCGAATTCCTTGCTTCCCGAGGCGCGAACGTCAACGCCGTCGCCAAGGATGGCGATACCCCCCTTCACAAGGTACACATTTCAATTGGTTGTGGCACATCTTCTTTCGTTCTCCATGTTCTACACGCTGGAAGCGAAGTGAGAGCTTTCCTCCAGGACAACCCTGACCTTGTGTGCGGTAACGCTCTTGCGCTGCTGCCTGCAGGCCGCATGGCGCAACCACCCTCAGGCTTGCAGCGCTCTGGTCGCTGCGGGCGCCGACAGGAAGGCTCGCAACGCCGAGGGCAAGCTCGCGTCCGAACTGGCCCGTGACGGCTCGTGCAAGCGCGTCTGCACTCCCCTCCCCGAAGTTGGTGCGTTCACGTTTCTCTCTGGCTACACAGTCTGCGTGTGTTTGTGCGCCCGCGGCAAGGTTGCTCACCCACTTCGATGTTGTACAGGCGCCACCACGAACCCACTATTGAGGGCCATGGAGGAAGCCGCCCTCATGGACGATGATGAGGACGATTAAGCTTTCCCATCCTCGCTGAGCCTCACCGTGTTATATTTACGGGCAGCGTTCGCAAGTGATTCTCTCTTCGTCTCGCTTGTGCTTCACTTCCCGCTGTAACTTCTTCTCCTCTACAAACACCCTTTCCTCTGGCGCAAGTGTAACTTTAGTATCCCCTCTCTCTTCCCCAACCCACCGTTCAAGTCACTCAGGCGACCCACTCAACCCAATAAACCGAACTTGTACGCCCAGACCCCCACCTGCACCAACAGCAGAAGAAGGGCCAGAAGGCAAAGAAAGAAAACAAGGTTGGGGCCAAAGAAAAAGGGTGTAATTGCCTCTCCTTCGCCTCTGTTGTTGCTCTGGCCGCACAAGCAAGGCCAACGAGCCCTTCATTTGCAGCGCCGGGTTAAATCCCGGTTTGAAGGCACTTCGCATTGGTGGTTGCCTCAATCTGTGGCCGTCAATTCTGACGCCACCTTAACTCCCGCGCCCAAAAGAAGCCGACGCAGGCAAACACTGTCGAGTGGACTTGGTTGCCCCTTTTCTTGTGTCGAATCGACGAGAAGGACGTGTGCGACGTTCAGCTGATTTATTCTCACTCGCTTCGCCTAGCTTACTGGATTGATCCCAATAGGATCGAGAACACTCGGTCGCCTTCGTGTAATTTATTAGTCCTTTGTATATCCCCCAACTATCGCAAACATGCAGCCTCGCATGGTAAGTGACAACGCCCACTTCATCTCTTCGTTCTCCTGCCATTTCTCCCAAAGGGGGGCGGGATGTACAGATGGCTAAGCGAACCATTGTAAAATAGGGCAAAGCGGCGGTGGAGCAGAGAGGTGTGGACGATCTCGTGCTCATGCCGAAGATCACAGAGCAAGACATCTGTGCCAACTTAGAGAAGCGTTACTTCAACGATCTCATCTACGTACGCTCTTGCACTAACTGCCTTGGCCTCTATCTTCCTCAAATGATCGTTCTGACATCTAAACTCTCGGCGACTTCTCTCTCCATTGATTCTCTACGCGCAGACCAACATCGGTCCTGTGCTGATCTCGGTCAACCCTTTCCGAAGGATCGATGCTCTCCTCACCGACGAGTGCCTGCACTCGTACAGAGGGCGCTACCAGCACGAGCAGCCTCCCCACGTGTACGCGCTTGCCGAGGCTGCCTACCGTGGCGTTAAGTCCGAAAACATCAACCAGTGTGTCATCATTTCGTACGTGCATTCCCCATTCCTCCATCTAGGTGCCAAGGAGCGGGGAAGAGGTAACGCTAATTTTCGCCGATTTAATCGCTGCCCAATCATCAGGGGTGAATCTGGAGCTGGCAAGACTGAAGCGTCCAAGCTGGTGATGCAGTATGTTGCCGCCGTGTCTGGCAATTCGGGTGGTGTAGATTTTGTAAAGCATGTTATTTTGGAGGTACGTCCATTCGCTCTACTTGGCATCCTCTTGCCCCCCCCCCACAAAAACTGCCGCTACGAAGTCGACGCGACTTACCTTTCATCTCTGTTCCACAGTCCAACCCTCTTCTCGAAGCCTTCGGTAACGCGAAGACCCTGCGTAACAACAACTCGTCTCGTTTCGGTAAGTACTTTGAGATCCACTTCAACAGGCTCGGCGAGCCCTGCGGTGGTCGTATCACCAACTACCTGCTCGAGAAGGTACCCGTTTCTTCTCTCATCATTCCTCCTACTTCAGCTACTTCGCCTTCATCAACATCCTTCACGTGGCCATCATAGACTCACTCGTTCTCTTCTTCGCCTTCCTCTCCCTCCAGTCGCGAGTCACCTTCCAGACCAGGGGCGAGCGTTCGTTCCACATCTTCTACCAGCTCCTCGCCGGTGCCTCCGATGCCGAAGCTCGTACGTTTTGACACGCACGCACGCCAGCTAGCTTCTTCCTCCTCCGCGTGCGCTCACCTAACGCATGCTCGTGCGCACACCTGCAGAGGAGATGCAGCTCTACGCGCCTGAGAACTTCAACTACCTGAACCAGAGCGCTTGCTACACCGTCGACGGTATCGACGACATCAAGGAGTTCGCCGACACCAGGAACGCCATGAACGTGATGGGTATGACTGCCGAGGAGCAGAGGCAGGTCTTCCACCTCGTGGCCGGTATCCTCCACCTGGGCAACGTCGCCTTCCACGATGGCGGCAAGGGCACAGCTGCCGTGCACGATGAGAACTGTACGCACGCCTTGCTTTCACGCCTCTGTTCCCGGTATAGCACTCACCGTGTGGTTTCCTCCGGTTGCTGTCTAGACCTCAACCTGGCGGCCAGCTACCTGCGCGTCGAGCCCTTCGCGCTGAAGAACGCCCTTCTGTTCCGCGTGCTCAACACCGGTGGTGCGGGTGCCAAGAAGATGTCGACCTACAACGTACCCCAGAACGTCGAGCAGGCCGCGTCCGCCAGGGACGCTCTGGCCAAGACCATCTACAGCAGGATGTTCGACTGGATCGTGAGCAAGGTGAACGAAGCCCTCCAGAAGCAGGGCGGATCTGGCGACCACAACAACAACATGATCGGTGTGCTCGACATCTTCGGTTTCGAGATCTTCGAGGTATGTGGCCCGCACACTTACTGTCTCTTTTTTTCGATCGAAACTAATTTGATGGTACCGAATCGCAACTCCACAGCAAAACGGTTTCGAGCAGTTCTGTATCAACTACGTGAACGAAAAGCTGCAGCAGTACTTCATCGAGTTGACCCTCAAGGCCGAGCAGGAGGAGTACGTGAACGAGGGTATCCAGTGGACCCCCATCAAGTACTTCAACAACAAGGTCGTGTGCGAGCTCATCGAGGGCAAGAGGCCGCCCGGCATCTTCTCCCTGCTCGACGACATCTGCTTCACCATGCACGCCCAGTCCGACGGCATGGATGGCAAGTTCCTGCAGAAGTGCCAGGGCGGATTCCCCTCCCACCTCCACTTCCGCGGCATGAACAACGCCTTCTCCATCAAGCACTATGCCGGTGAGGTACTGTGACCACTCCACCACCTCTCGATTGTTTCGACGACCGCCACCTATGCAGGTTATTAACTGCCCTTCTCTCCACCTGTAGGTGACGTACGAGGCTGAGGGCTTCTGCGAGAAGAACAAGGACACCCTGTTCGACGATTTGATCGCCGTGATCCAGGAGAGCGAGAACCGATTGCTCGTCTCGTGGTTCCCCGAGGACACCAAGCAGCTGCAGAAGAAGCGTCCCACCACTGCCGGCTTCAAGCTCAAGACCTCGTGCGACGCGCTCATGGAAGCCCTTTCGCGGTGCTCGCCGCACTACATTCGTTGCATCAAGCCCAACGACAACAAGGCCTACCACGACTGGGACGCCACCCGTACCAAGCATCAGGTCCAGTACCTCGGTCTCCTCGAGAACGTGCGCGTGCGTCGTGCCGGTTTCGCCTACCGAGCTGAGTTCGACCGCTTCCTCAGAAGGTAATTGGCTCACTCCTTGGATTCTTAATTTATCGCGCGCTTGACTTGTTTGCTGACCTTTGCCTTTCCGCACACAATTCAAGGTACAAGAAGCTGTCGCCCAAGACCTGGGGCATCTGGGGTGAGTGGTCTGGCGCGCCCAAGGACGGTTGCCAGACGCTGCTCAACGACCTCGGCCTCGTACGACAGCCACACATTCGATTGCATTCCTCCATTGGAGCGGCCCAACTCATCGCCTTTGCTCTTTGACCAACTGGTTCACAGGACACGAGCCAGTGGCAGCTGGGTAAGAGCAAGGTGTTCATCCGCTACCCCGAGACCCTCTTCCATCTCGAAGAGTGCCTGGACAGGAAGGACTACGACTGCACGCTCCGCATCCAGAAGGCCTGGAGGCACTGGAAGTCGCGAAAGCACCAGCTGGAGCAGAGGAAGATGGCCGCCGATCTGCTCAAGGGCAAGAAGGAGCGCCAACGCCACTCGGTGAACCGCAAGTACGAGTTCGACTACATCAACTACGACGCCAACTACCCGCTCCAGGACTGCGTGCGGTCGTCCGGCCGGGACAAGGAGGCCACCGCCTTCACGGACCAGGTGCTCGTCCTCAACAGGCGCGGTAAGCCCGAGAGGAGGGATCTGATCGTCACCAATGAAGCCGTCTACTTCGCCATGCGCAAGAAGAAGAGTACGTGGCATCTCATTCTCATTCCATTCTCGGAACTCCTCACTCATATTCTTCCTCCCGTGCAGGCGGCCAGGTCGTGTACAACCTCAAGAGGCGCATTCCTTTGGGCGAGATCGCTTCGCTGTCGCTCTCGACCCTGCAGGACAACTACGTCGTCATCCACCACAACCAGTACGACATGGTGTTCGAGAACGACAAGAAGACCGAGATCGTGACCATCCTGATGGAGAACTACAAGATGAGCGGCGGCAGAGACTTGCCCGTCAACTTCAACGACAAGTACGTCACCTTGCACTGCGTGGGTTCGCCTCACTCTTGCGGCAGTACTGACACTGTGTTTCTCTCGGCTTCCCCCCACCGCAGCATCACCTACAAGGCTTCCAACGGCGCCCAGAGGAGGCTCACGTTCTCCAAGAACGAGAGCGCGTCGGCGCAGCCCAGCATCAAGAAGAGCCGTGCCAACATCCAGATCGGCATCGCCACTGGTCTGCCCAAGGAGACTGGTACCCTCCCCCTCGCTTGTCGGCCTCGTTTGTGGGCTCCCTGCTCACATTGTGGTTGCAACCACCTCTGCAGACTCGTCGCCTCCCAACTGGACCCCCAGCGGTGGCGGCGGCGGTTACGGAGGCGGAAGGGGCGGCGGCGGTGGCGGCAGAGGTGCTGCTGGCGGCGGAAGGGGCGGCTTCGGCGGCGGTGGCGGCGGCGGTTACTCGCAGCCCGTTGCCCAGGCTCAGCCCGTGGCTCAGGTGCCTCAGCCCGTGGCTGCCGTTCCTAGCGCCGGTCGTGGCGGCCCTGGCATGGGCGGCCCCGGAGCCGGTCGTGGTGGTCCCGGCATGGGTACGCCGCCAGTTCTCTCTCCCCTCTCTCTCCTCCAGAAACCAACGGCTGACTGTTCTCTGTTTTCAGGCCGCGGAGGCCCTGGCATGGGTGGTCCCGGTGCAGGCCGCGGTGGTCCCGGCATGGGTGGTCCCGGCGGCGCTGGTCGCGGAGGTCCCGGCGGCCCCGGCGCTGGTCGTGGCGGTCCTGGCGGCCCTGGCGCTGGCCGTGGCGGTCCTGGCATGGGTGGCCCTGGCGGCGCTGGTCGTGGTGGACCCGGTGCTGGCCGAGGCGGTCCTGGCATGGGCGGTCCTGGTGCCGGCCGCGGTGGCCCTGGTGCCGGTCGCGGCGCTGCTCCCGCTCCCGCTCCCGCTGCTCCTGCCAAGCCTCAGGTTCGCCAACGCCGCTAACGTTGATGAGCAGTTATTTGCCTGGTGCTGACACTGCTGCGCTCTTTCTTTGTGGGAGCAGGTGAAGGCGCTGTACGATTACGATGCGCAAACGGGCGACGAGCTCACATTCAAGGAGGGCGACACGATCATCGTCCACCAGAAGGATCCCGGCGGATGGTGGGAGGGCGAGCTCAACGGCAAGCGGGGATGGGTGCCCGCCAACTACGTGCAGGACATCTAAGTCGCCTTTCACACGCGAACATCCCTCCTCCTTGCGCCATTGCGTGACGCAAAGCACACCGTTTTAGAGGGTTACCCCCACCCACCTTATTTTTGCCTCTCTTCTGGCTTGTGTCTCGCCTTTGGTGTTGTTTCTTTACATAAAAAAACATAATATTACATTATTCCTGGTTATGGTACCGGTAGCTGTAAACGTCTAAAACCGGAAAAAAGGCCACAAAAAGCTCCAAAAATCAAAAAAAAATAAGTGGGTCTTCAAGTGTGGGGTGCTTGCCTTATTTTTCTTGCCGCCCGAAAATTGGCGGGAGAGCAGGCCAGTTTTCGCAGGCCGGAAACGGAAGTTTTGTGCGAAGATGGAGAGAGGAAGAAAATGGAACGATCTGGAGATGGGACTCCACAGGTGGTCGCTTGCTGGCCTTCGCTGAGGCCTCACGATAATCCACCATAAAACCACTTTGCCTTCACTTCTTTCCTTCATACAACTACACGCCACGGACACAACACGAACTTGTGTCATCTTCAATCGAACCAAGAGCCCCATACTTCCCACCAGAGCATGGCTACACACCCCGAGGAGAAACGAACACAACTCCACCGAAGCATGAATCTCGAACTCGAGCGTTCTGCCGATGCATCGTCGTTCGATCCGGACGCTGCAGGAGAGCTGGCCCCGCTGACTAGCGACATGCGACGACAGATCTACGAGCTCAAGGCAGCCTACGAAGAGTTCTGGCAACAGCGCAAGTTCAGGAAGGGCTGGGCCAAGCCCCTGTTCGCCTTCGACGAGGCTGTCGAAGAGCTGCTGGCCCGTGCCGCCGAGGCCGTCGTTCGCATCCGTTCACACTTTGATGAGCTCAACGGATCGAGCACGGTACCGCGCGGCCTCTCCAAGTCGGCCTCATCGATCGCCACAGCGAAGCTGCCTCGCTTCAAGGAGGGTCGAGCCCGCGAGTACCTGTGCAGCCTCGAGCAGGACCCCCGTGCCGCGCCGCAGCAGTTCGTGCGCGAGATCGTCCACGCCACCCTCAGCAACGAGGATGGCTACCTCGAGGAGGGCCTCACCGGCGACAAGCTCGACCGCTACATCGACAAGGTACGAACATCATTTCGCTCTACAACTTTCTTGTTCTTACGCTCAGAGACTCTGTTGTATGCTGACCTTGCCCCCCAAATACAGATCACGGCCTACATGAGACAGAGAGATGAGCAAGAGGCGAGGGCGACGGTGCAGCTGGAGGAGAAGCTCAAGCGGCGATGGGCCAAGGCCGAGGAGCTGTTGAAGGCCTTCTACGCGCTCGACGCCGACGAGAAGGCGAGCAAGAGCCACTACCAGTCGCTCCAGAAGATCATCAAGCGCGTCGACGACGTGCGCGAGGAGCTCATGCTCATGCAGAGACGACGAGAAGCCAAGCGGGAGCAGCAGGAGCAACAGAGCGTCGAGGCCGAAGTCCCTCAGCAGCCGACAGTCAGCGCACCCGAGGAACCGGTCGCTACCGCGGAGAGCCAGCCGGCCCCTGAGGGAGAAGCGGCCCAGGCCGAGGAGAAGGAGGAATCAGCACAGCCTGAGCAGCAGCAGCAGGTGGAGGCGCGCGAGGAACAGGAGGAGCCCAAGCCCGAGCAGGCCGCTGCCCCCGCGACAGAGGAGGCGCAAGCTGCGGCAGCAACAACTGAGCCTGCGGCACAGGAAGACAGCGCCGCCGCTGCCGCCGACACCGGCAAGGAGGTGGTGGATGAGGAGAGCGAACAGAGGCGACGAATCGAACAGGAGCGGGAGAAGGCCATGCTCAAGATCAAGAACGTGGCCGACAGCGTCACCCGACTGAGCGACCAGATCGAGGGTTTCACCAGCGAGGCCACCGGGCTCGACATGGAAGAGGTACGCTCGCACCCCCACCTCCTTACGCTCCACGTTCGGTACAACGTTTCGTTTTGTGGTCTGACCTTTCTTTCTCTCTTTCATCTTGTTCACCTACAGCTGCAGAAGGAGCCGGAGAGTGCGGAGAAGATGCTGTCGAAGCTGCAGAAGCAGTGTCTGTTCTACTCGGAGAACCTGATGAAGGACCTGCTCTCGCTCGACGCGATCTCGACCGGCACCCTGCCCGGCAGCGAGGAGGCCAGCGAGGAGGTGCGCCCGCTCCGGAAGCAGCAGGTCAAGGAGATTCAGGGCCTGCTGCAGGACGTCGACCAGGTCAACAGCAAGCTCAAGGCCATGCTCAAGAAGGTCCAGGAGGAGAAGCAGCGCAAGGAGGAACAGCGCAAGAAGTTCGAGATCGACGAACGCGCCAAGCAGCCTCAACAACCTCAACAGCAGCCGACTACGACTACGACAGCGACCGCGAGTGCGACTGCGGCGGCGGAGAAGGACCAGGCCAGGAGCGAGGGCGTAGATATGTGGCGTTCACTGAAGCTCAAGCCCAAGTTCGAGATGGCCCGCACGCAGGACTCGATCATCCTGCAGGCCCACATTCCCGGCATGCGCGAGGAGGACATCGAGATCGAGCGCGACGACGACGGCCAGGCCTTCACGGTCAAGGGCCTCCGGGTGCCCACGCCGGCCGAGGAGGCCGCCATGCGCCGACAGCTCAAGTCCGTGCTGGCGCGCGACCCGTGGGGTCTCTACTATCCGCAGGGCGAGCAGGAACGCGACCTCCTCCTGCGCATGGCCGCCGGTCGCTACGGCAGCTTCAGCGAGACCTTCGAGGTCTCGCCCGAGATGGACCTCCTGGGCATCGCGGCCAGCTACGCCGGTGGCGTCCTGCGCATCGCCGTGCCCATCAAGCCGCACCATCAGCGACAGCAGCGACAGGGCCGAAAGAAGGCCTTCTACCCCCACCAGCAGCCGCCTCAGCAGTTCCCCTATCAGCAGCGACGGCGCCACGGCGGCCGGCCGCACTATGGCGGCTACCCAGCGGACGTGGGCGGCCAAGGCTTCTTCAACGACAAGTCCTTCTGGTGGTGAAGTGTCAGTGGCCTTGGGAATATATAAATATAAAACATGCATTAATAACAAATCAAGGTGCAAGTGCTTCAGAGAGTGAGAGAGAAAAGCAAGAAAAGGCCTCTGTTTGAGCGAATTTTGTAGTTGATTTCAGGGTGTTTTTGAGTGTTTTGCAATAGAAAAAACCCTACAGCCCTGACAATCTGTACATGCTGCCAGATAGTTAGTAAAAAGAGTCACTGACCCTTTTTTGTGAACACCTGGTTACTTGAGATGTGGACTTGTGCCTGTGTCCTGCTCCTCCTATATGAGGGCCAGGATGCCCTTGTGGCTATAGGGGAGCTGCTCAATTCTGGAGTGGTGTCACCTGGTGTGCTCAGTGAGTGGGCTGCAATGAAGGTGGTGACCAAGGGTGGTGGCAAGCCAGTGCTGTGGAGCAAGCCCAAGGTGCTGTTAAAACAACTGCTGACCTTCTTGGGTGTGGATGGTGAGGACTTCTATGTGTGGAAGGACCAGCTGCTCATCACGCAGGTGCTGCATGGCTATGATGACAGCAAGTTCACCCCCATTGTGGCCTATGCCCTGGCTGGCACAGCTATGAAGAGGATGAGTGTGCAGCCAGCTGCCACTACACATATTGCTGTGGCCCTCTTTCTGCTGGTTGAGTACAAGGCACTCTGCAACCAGCTTGACCACTACAAGTCCAACAAGATCACACAACAGGCTGCAGCCATGCCCATGGGTCTGTCATTAGCTGAGCAGCTCACCATGCTCATGGAGGCCATGGCATGACTCATGGCTGAGCAAGTGCAACTTCTGAGCAGTCATAAAATCCTCACTGGTGGTCAAACTAGCTGGTGGTGCCAATGGGGCCATGTCTGGTGTTGCCATTGCAGAGTGGCCACACATGGAGAGAGAGGAGGACAAGGCAGGATGGGTGGTGAAGCACCCCATGGAGGAGCATGGAGGGTTGGCTGGCTGGGTCAGGGCTGGTGGGCTGATGTCTGGTGTGGCACAGGCAGACCATGCTGGGGCTGAGAAGGCTGAGCATGTGTTGGTTTTGGGAGAGAGTGCCAGGACCAGTGCATGTGGTGCTGTGGAGTTGCTGGACACAACAGCTAGCAGTGGGAGCTCTGGATGTGCTGGCAGCATGAACAGTGTCACTGAGGATGGCAAGTGTACACTGGAGGTTGCCACTGTCTGACCTGAGCCAGCCACAGGTGATGAGGATGTTGAGATGGCTGACATGGCGCTGATCCACATCCAGTTGCTGGTGGGGCAGGTGGCCAAGCAGGTCATCATCAACACAGGATCAGGCCACTTGTTCATCTGGGAGGATGTGCTGAGCACTGTTGAGGCACTTGGACAGCAGCCTGTGCATGAGGCTTGACCAAGGCCATGGCCAACCTCTGGCTGGGCATGCAGGTTGGTGTAGCAGAACCCATTGCAGAGCCCATTGTCATCCTGGCATTCAACATGGAGGAAGTGGGGCTGGTGCTGAGTGGGGGCCAACGCCTGTGACCAACAAAGCTAGCTCAGGTCTCAGCACCATGGAGGCTGAGCTGGTAGGATGGGCTGACATGGACCTCTCCCACGCCCAGAAGGAATGGCTGTGCAGCCTCCTACTGAAGAATGGGGACCTCTTCAGTGTCAGACAGATCATGGCAGTTCTGCATGGACTACCAAGACCTCAACTGCATCACAAAGCACAATGCATACCCACTCATTGATGAGCTCCTCAATCAAGTGGGTGGCTCCATGTACAGGTCCAGCATGGACATATCAGGCTACTGGCAAGTTGCACTCCACAAGGAGGACAAGGAGAAGACAGCCTTTTTGGTCAGCAGTGGACTCTATGAGTTCAACATCATGCCCTTTGGGCTGACCAACACACCAGCCTCATTCCAGCAGAACATGGAGGCACTACTTGGGGGCCTCACTGCCTCATGTACATAGATGATATCATCATCTACTCATGGTCCTTTGAGGAGCACCTGGCCCACCTACAGGCCATCTTTGACCATCTCTGGCAGGGACAGATGTACCTGAAGCCAAGCAAGTGCATTTTCTTCCAACAGGAATTGCTGTTCCTTGGGCACCTCCTGACAAAGGAAGGCCTCAAGCCAGACCCTGCCAAAGTCACCACTGTCAAGGACATGTGGCCACCATGGTTGGCTCAGGAGGTGTGCTGCTTCCTTGGACTGGCCAACTACTATTGACAATTCATTGAGGGATTTGCTGAGATCACTGAGCCGCTCCACCACCTCATGGGCAAGTGAGTAGTCTTCTACTGGGGACAGGTGCACCAGGAGGCCTTTGAGATGCTCAAGCAGCACCTCACCACTGCGCCTGTCATTGTGCAACCACAACAAGACCAGCCCTTTACACTGCACACAGACACCTTGGTGCACACCATCAGTGCAGTACTCACCCAACCAGACAATGATGGGCACAAGTGCATCATTGCCTATGGGAGTCAAACCCTGAAAGCCACTGAGCATCAATATTCCCCAATACACCACAAGTGCCTAGTGGTGTTCAAGTGGGTGAAGGTGTACCAACACTATCTCCATGGCCATCACTTCACTGTGGTCACCAACCACAACCCACTCATGTGGATAAGCAACCAGCGCAACCCCACCAACCAACTCGCCCAATGGGCTCTCATGCTGCAAGAGCACAATTTCGAAGTCCAATACTGACCAGGACTACACCACATGAACACCAGCACCATGACACATGGACCTGTCAACAATGGCAAGGCCCATGAGGAGCAGCCAGACCTAGTGGTGGTGGTGATGAGGGGATCAAAGGACCCCTCCAGTTGCACACACTACAGTCAGGAGGAAGGAGTGGTCAGGTGGTCTAGCCATCATACAGGGCATGGGACCATCAACACAGACCAGTCAAACACAGAGCCAGCAGGCCAACCAGCCACAAACACAATGCCACACATTGTGGCAAGACCAATGTTGTTGCAGCAGGAGGACCTAGCAGCATTGGGCGAGGAAATGCCAGCTGAAGAAGGGGGCCTGGGCTGGATAGCACTGGCTGAACAGGAGGACCATGTTGAGCAAGAGGACCCCAAGGCCATGGAGGATGCCAAGTGCAAGGAGCTCTCCATCAACAACGTCCAATGGCTGCAGAGGGAGGATCCTGACCTGCAACCACTCATTCATTACCTCAAGCAGCAGGAGCTGCCTGACAACCCAAAGCTGAGCCAGCATGTCATCCTCAAAGCCAGACAGATGGACCTCAACAAAGACAGCCTCCTGCAACATTTCTGGTGGACACAGTGAGGAGACCAGCGCACCAACACCCACAATAGGAGGGTAGTGTAGCACCTCATATGCTTGCCATGGAAGTGCAAAGCTCTCTCCCTTGCACCTTAGGAAGTGCTTCCCTGACAGGGAGCACAAAAGACCTGCTCTTCTCTGTGCTTGTGTTTTGAGTCTCTTGCCCAGTGAAAAAATGGGACACATTCTGCTTCACTACATGATGTGTGGCATGGTTCCACCACTCCAGGGACATACCAGTAACACCTCTCACCATCTTGTGCAGTGTTGCAGGCCTTACCTTGTCTGTGTTGGTGTTGGTGTCTGCATACAGGCAGGATGGGCTGACCCTCATGAGAAAGAGCTGTGATCACATCAATTGCACATCTCACAAAACTTGCTAAAAGTTCATAGTTGTGCAAGTATGAGAGTTTGCATGTCCCCATTCAGACTGGGGAGAGTGGGGAGAGACCCACCTGACCAGCTTCTTTGGGCCACCATTGAGTGCATTGGTGTCAACACTCTCACTTGAGACACCCCACTTCTGCATCAACTCCATTGCTAGCTGCTCCTCATTGTGAAGAAAAGTGGAGAGTACCATAGGACAGGGCAAGGCTTTCTCTGGAGCATCTTCAGCTGTCATTTCCTTGGCATGCACTGCTGCCCAACCCCACTTCAGCTGCACATGGATGTGTTCCAGAATCTCCAGCAAACTGAGAAGACTCGATCTCCTCAGGAGGCACAAAGGTCGCTAGCATAGGTTGAGGTTCAAGAAGAGGGCCTAGTTTTAGATTCAAAGTATCGAACAACACTTCCTGAAGAAGAGGAAACACATAACAACACCCACAGAGGCAACACACACACACATCGACAAGGCTTACTCGTCGAGGTTGAGCTCGCTCTCCACCTCCACAGACTCGCCCTCGTGGCTGGCAAGGTCCTCCTCGTCGTCCACGCCGGCGGTCTCGTACTGCTGGTACTCCTGGACGAGATCGAGCAAGTTGGACTCGGCCTCGGTGTACTCCATGTCGTCCATGCCCTCCTCGGTGTACCAGTGCCAGAAGGCCTTGCGCTTGAACATGACGCTCGACTGCTCCGCGACGCGCTTGAACAGCTGCTGGATGCACGTCGAGTTACCGAGGAAGGTGGCCGAGATGTCCCTGCCGGCGTTGGGCACCGAGCACACGGACGACTTGATGTTGTTGGGGATCCACTCGACGAACGACGAGCTGTGCTTGCCCTGCACCTTCAGCAGCTCCTACGATGTTTCAAAGATTGATGACGACGATCAGCATGGAAGGGTCGAAGAAAAGAAAACGAGAGAGCTGCGGTGGCGAAAGAGAGAAAAGGGAAGAGGGCAAGTACATCTTCGACTTCCTTGGTGCGGAGGTCCTTGCCGCGGAAGATGGCCGAGGCAGTGAGGTACCGGCCGTTGCGCGGGTCGCACGCCGCCATCATGTTGAGCGGGTTGAACATCTGCTGCGTCAGCTCGAGCACCCTGGTAAAGAGAGCAGATGAATGTGATTAGCTTCACCAGTTTCGAGAACACAACAACGCGGGACAGTTGGGCGCGAGATGAGGGGGGAGAGACGTACGAGAGGTTGAGGTAGTCCTTGCTGGAGAGCGAGGTGAGGGGGGCAAAGCCGACGAGGAAGAAGTGCAGACGCGGGAACGGGATCAAGTTCACGGCGAGCTTGCGGAGATCGGCGTTGAGCTGACCCGGGAAACGCAGGGAGCAGGTGATGCCGCTCATGACGTGCGACACGAGGCCGTTCAGCTCCGAGTAGTTGGGGTTGTTCAGCTTGAGCGTGCGGAAGCAGATGTCGTAGAGGGCCTCGTTGTCGATGCACATCACCTCATCGGCATTCTCGATGAGCTGGTGCACGGACAGAGTGGCGTTGTAGGGCTCGACGACGACCTCGGAGACCTTGGGCGAGGGGACCACGCTGAAGGTGCAGATCATGCGGTCGGGGTACTCCTCGCGCAGCTTCGACATGACAAGGGTACCGAGACCGGAGCCGGTACCGCCACCGAGCGAGTGGCAGAGCTGGAAGCCCTGCATGAGGTCGCAGTTCTCCACCTCCCTGCGCACGACGTCCATGACCTCCTCCACGAGCTCGGCGCCCTCTGTGTAGTGACCCTTGGCCCTGAAATTTGCACACAAACGCTGGGTAAGGCCCAGCCCAACGAAGAGAGAGCGAGGCGAAAGGCTTGCAAGCCAAAGGGTACCAGTTGTTGCCGGCGCCAGACTGGCCGTGCACCATGTTGTCGGGACGGAAGATCTTGCCCAGCTTGTTGCCCTTGATCTGATCCATCACGCCCGGCTCCAAGTCGACCAGCACCGCTCGCGGCACGTACTTGCCTGCAGGAAGAGTTAGGCCAAGGCACGAGGCACAAAAGACATCTCATAAGCGCGGAAAAAAATATCTCGAGCGAAGATTATTTGGGAGAAGCGCAGAATGAAGGAAGAATCTCAGGAGACCCAATTTTCACTACCAGTGGAAGGATAAACGACGAAACAAGGAGGCTAACATTAATTAAGGGCTACTATCGCTATTGACAGTGACCATTTCAACGTAAATGAGGAAAGGCGCAAAGATAGGAGAAAAAGACAGGAAGAAGGGGGGAGGTGCCTCCATTGGCCTCAGTGTAGTAGACGTTGATCTTGTCGAGCTGAATGGTGTCCTTGCCGGGGTTGGTAGCGATGTCCTCATCCCACTGGCCGTTGGGGAGAATGCCGTGCTCGGCGCAGATGGTCTCCCAGAATTTGGCGCCGATCTGATTACCGCACTGACCCACCTGAACGTGCACGATTTCTCTCATCTTGTTCTAGCTCTAAACGCTCGTTCGATTCGTTCGTTAGGTTGCTGCTGCGAAGATGCTGACGCCGGCTTTTTGACTTCGCCGCTGGCGCCACAAGCGTGGTCTGCCGCCGTCGCTGATTGGCCAGCCTGGCGACCTGCGCTGAAGTTGCGGGTCCGAAATTCGACTAACTCAGGTTTTGGCGGGAACGCTCTCGCGCCAAAAGCACTCACACATCTTTTGCTTTCCTCTAACATTTTGATCACCACGCGGTCTTGCTCAACTCTGGTCAAGTCGCACAAGACAAGGTGCTTGGTGGCCGAGGTGGTTAGCGATAATGGGCAGCAGGAAGGATTCGTTGGAACTGTTTTGCGCTCCTCTCCGCCTTTATGCTCGGACCGGCGGATGGCGGGTATGGGCAGTGCGCCGAGAGAAGCTTCGGTGAGGGGACAAGAGGACAAGAAGAGATGAGGAGGAGGTTTATTAGGTAGCGGCCGCAAGCCAAGATGGGCCTCTGCTATAGATATACATGGGGGTGAAAAGAGCGGTAGAAGAGAAGAGGGGCGTCGTCAATGCACCGCGCACAAGGCTGAGAAACAAAAAAGAAAGGCCGCGTGCGCACGCGGCCTACGACGCCGCAGTAAGTCTGATGGGGGAGGTGGGTGTAAGGGACTGATGTGGACAGGCGCACAGTTCATGATGAACGCCATGCAGGTGCGATCGTAAATAACGTACCTAGTCGGCGCCCATGACTGTAGGAGCGACGTAGGTGAAGCCGTTGAAGTCGTCATTGTCGCCTTCTGCGGTCTTGGCAAGTTCAGACGTCTCGACCACGGAATCAACCGCCTTCTCAGACGTGAATACAGGGTCGATCTTTGAAGGGAGTGGAAGAAGAAAACGGTCAGAACCATGAGCAAGGCAATGCCCCGAATAAAACGGGATCACTACTCACCTGACTGATGTCGGCCTCCGACTTGACCTTGGGCTTGAAGGTAGGTTCAACCTCCTTCTTGAACAGTTTATCCCAGTCGATGCTTCTAAAGAAGGGGTGCTTCTTGATCTCGGCCGCATCGCTTGTGCCCAGCCGCTTGGTCGGGTCGCGCGTGAGCAGCTGCGGTGGGTCATACAAAACAAAAAGTCATCAGTCTCATGCACAACATGGGCCAGTGCGCAGGGCAGGTACCCCGTCGAGGAGGGACTGGGCCTCACTGGAGACGTAGCTCGGGAAGCGCAGTTCGCTGTTCAAAATTTTTTGGTACATGATGTTGATGTTTTGCGAGTAGAACGGCGGCTGTGGAAGACAAGAAAAGAGCAGCCGCGGTGAGCACGAGATCGCCAAGGGGGGCAGGACGGAGGCTAACTTACCAGGCCAGTAAGCATCTCATACATGAGGGTGCCCAAGCTCCACCAATCCACCGCACAGCCATGGCCTTGGCCCTTCAGCACTTCAGGGGCTGATACAGATGCGAATTGAATCAGCGAAATTGAACGAGGAGGACGGAATCAATCTCAAGCGATGTATCGATAACCATACCCAGGTATTCGGGCGTGCCACAGAAGGTCTGTGTGCCCTCGGTGGGATTGATTTCCTTGGACAGGCCAAAGTCGGTGATGACAATGTGGCCTGAACGAGAACAACAAAGCAAGCAGAAGGGCATGAGCGATTTGAGGGGAGGGGGTTGTGTGAAGCGCGAACCTTCTGAGTCAATTAAAATGTTCTCGGGCTTGAGGTCGCGATAGACAATATCGAGCGAGTGAAGATGCGAGAGGGCGAGAACGATTTCGGCAGCGTAGAGCACCACACGATGCTCGGGGAAGCGTCCCTCCTTCTTCAGATGGAAAAAGAGCTCACCGCCGTTGATGTAGTCGAGGATCATATACAGCTTGTCGTCCGTCTGGAAGGCGTAGTGCAGCGTGACGATGAAGGGGTGCTGGATCTTCTGCAAGATCGATTTCTCGGCCTTGGTGTGCGCCACCTGCTTCCTCGCTCGAATGGCCTCCTTCCTCAACACCTTCATCGCGAATATCTCCCCCGTATCCTTCTTCTTGACTTGCATCACCTTACCGAAGCTTCCCTTTCCAATGACGGTGAGCAGCTCGAAATCATCTTTTGTGACTTTGCCCTTGTCTGTCGAGAACAGCACCGTATCGTTCCATGAGGGGTCGAGCTCGTCGTCTGACAACTTCCTTGATGGCCCTTCGCCACTTTCCTTCCCATTGTTGCTCTCGGCCGCGGTATCTTCCCTCGATGCCTTCACCGATCCATCGTCTGCTGTCTCCTTTCCCTTGTTCTTCTTCTTGTCCTTCTTTCCCTCCGCCTTCTTACCCTTCGATCCCTTGCCTCCCATCTCGCGATCAATCCAGATCTAGTCCGTCGTGCAAATGTTTCGCCGGCGGCCTTGTCGCCCACTCCACCGCAACCGAGCTATCATTCACGCGGCCCAAATTCATGGAATTCCTGCTACTCCCTATTGGCCCTGAAATTCCAATTCGGGGCAAATGAACTTGCGCAGGTATGTGCCTGTTCGCGCTACTCTCAAGTAGGCAGACGATGTCAAGAGATATGCCCTTGTCCACTACCACGCCAGTACTACCAGGAGTATTCTCCCTCCTCCAGGCCAGGGCTGGGTCTGACTATGTACAATGGATGACCTGCGAGTCGTCCCCTCATGCGGCGGTTCATGCGCGCATGTCTCTGCACGACACGCGTGTGGTCTTGGTTGTGGCAGTCGCGTGGCGCCAATCAACCAAGAGAACCACGAGACCGTCGAGTGCGCCGCCAAGGTGGTGGCGTGCCACGCTACGTACTTTTGTTCTGAGTTCACGTGCGCGCGTCACATGAGAAGTCCTCCACACCATCCTCCAGCGCCAGCGCGAAGCTGTGCAACAGCTCTCACGCTCAATTCAGGAGCATCAGAGGCAGCAACAGGGCGAGATCGACAAGCTCAAGAAGCAAATGAAGTCGCTGAAAACGAGGGAACAATCATCGGCCAACAATGGCCCGTATGTAAACCACCTCACCTTCCAAGTTTGAATTTGATTCCGACATTGAGCACAGCATCTTCAGAGCCCCGGCATTGCCCAGCTTCAGCTGAAGCTGAATCGTCGTGGCCGACACCGGCAACCATCGGACCCAGGTGTTTCGAGCTGATGGGTCCTTCATCCACACATTCGGCTGCCTGAGTTCCGGCCCCTGACAGTTCAAGGAACCCTGCGCCGTGGCGGTGGCCCAACTTCGGGCGACACCATCGTGGTCTAGTAATGGAGGGGTGATGAGGTTCAGCGCTGACAGCTCGCGGGTCTCCATTCCGCTCTCTGTCCACGGACCAACTGGCGTGGCTGTGACCCCAGCGGGCACGATCTTCGTTACCGAGGCCTGGTGGTGTGGCGGTGGACCTCGCTTCCGGCAACGTCGTCGTGGCTGACACTACCCCCCACCGTATTCAGGTGTGGTAAATAGATAAATAAGTGATAAATGAATGAATGAATAAAAGCCAGGCTGGAGGTGATCAACGGGTTTGTTACACAAAACTGAAGAGCGAAGGAGAGAGAGAGAGAAGGGAGGTGTGCAGCGGCTGCCAAAGCGGCTGCTTTTTACTGCTGCTTGCACTCGGGCTTGCCCTCACCACCCTCAGGCGGGGCGAACTCACCGTCCTCCTCGTCATCATCGTCATCCTCATCACCCTCACCACCGAACTGCAAGAGGAGAAGAAGAGGTCAGGAAGTCAGCTACCTCTTCGTCATCACACATCAGGAAAAGGCTGAGACAAAGCGATGCGTACCTCGCCATCCTCATCGTCCTCCTCACCATCATCGCCACCGAAGCCATCGACGCTGGCGTCACCGGTGAACCAGTGCACGGCGTGCTTGATGATCTCCTCCTTGAGCGACACGGCCATCTCGAAGTCGAGCTCCATCATGCTCACGATCTGAGGCGAGGGCTGCTTGCCCTGCTTGACCTCGGGCGGGGCGAAGAAGTTGAAGAACGAGCCACCGGGGCCGAAGCTCTTCTTGACGCCCTGGGTCAGGTCCTGGCCCTCCTTCCAGTTGATCTGAGTGCTGTCGACGCTCTCGCAGACAACCTCGTCACCCTCCTCGCCGTCACCGTCGAGGTGGTAGGTCTTGCTGATGACCTCGTTGGTGAAGAAGGGGTTCTCCCTGAAGTGGAACTTGAGGGTGAAGCTGCCGGCCTCCTCCTCGACGGGGTCCTGCGTGATGTCGGTGAGGTACTTGAGGGCCTCCTCGTCCTTCTCGGAGATGGCCGAGTCGAGCATCTCGTGGTGCTTGAGAGCGGTGAGCCAGAACTCGGGCACACCGACGACGTTCTTCTCCTCCTCGGTCTCTTCCTTTACTTCCTCATCCTTCTTCTCCTCCTTGATCTCCTGGATCTTGGGCTCGGCATCTTCCTCCTCATCATCGGACTCCTCCTTGGCCTCCTCGTCGGTGGGCTCAACCTTACCGTTGATGATGGCCGCTCGCTTCTGGTAGAGAGGGGTGAACTGCTCCTTGTGGTACTTGAGCTCGAGGGCCTTCAGCTCCTTCTCGAACTCCTCCTCAATCTTCTCGTACTCGCGCTACAAGGCCAAGGAATCGTAAGTTCGTGTTGTAAAAAACAGAATCGGGACACTATCAACACGTGGAAACAAATTATGGCTAACGGCCAATTGGCTGATGAATGAAAAATCGGAGATGGAGATCGGAGATGGGACGTACGTCGAGGTTGCGGAGAGCGCGGACTCGGCGCTGCACGGCCTTAGGCAGGGTCTGGAAGTAGCCGGAGTCGGCGCCAATCATGCCCAGCGCGCCGAGCTGGCTCTGCAGGCCCTGAAGCGCGCCCTGGAGGTTGAATCCGCCAGCGCCGCCGCCGGAGAGATCAAAGTTGAGCTTGCTGAAATCGAAAGTCGGCTGCTGCTTGTCTCCCATCTTGGTGTGTGTATTGTGTAGTGTCTTGCAATTAGATGCTAAAGATGCGCAAAGGACTTCAGTAGCGGGCTTTTGAGCCAAGCGCGGGAAAAGGCTGCCGTTTTCTGCGTTCTTTCTTGGCTGCCGCGACCTACAAACTCCGACACGCACTCAAGCGTCGCTTTCGGTTTCGTTTTCTTGGTCTTGGTCGGGCTCATCGAACGACGGCGTGGTTGCAATTCCCACCGAGCGGAGGAACGCAGCCCACTCCACGCGATGAACTCGCGGTGTGCGCGGCTCAAAGATCACCCGACACTGCTTCGGGTCGGCGCCCTCTGTGTTTTGTTGTTCGCGCTGCCGTGAGAACCACTCATCAGCGAGCACGCCTGTGCAAGAGCGGGGGAATGTACTCGCGATCAGGGTGGTGACCCACTCCTTGGCGGTACTGAGTTGGCCGTGGAACGATGGCTCGTGGCTAACGATAACCTGCAATAAGGTCTCCCCGTAGGCATTCCTTGCATTGATGTCCGCTCCGTGGGCCATCTGCGCCGAATCCCACACTGAGCATGGGTCACCACTACCAAGGGGGAAGGAGGGAGAGCCTACCAACAGGTCGAAATCTTGGGGTCGGAACTGCTGGACGAAAAACAAGGCGGGTCCTTGACGAGGTCCCGAATGTCGATTCAGATCGGCTCCTCGCTGGTGCGACGCCATTCCAAGGCGAACAGCAGGTGAGCGCAATCTGCCCATTGCGAATGGAAACGGTCAAAGGTACCTGAAGCAGCAGCTTGATGGCCTTTGGCACCTTGTCGGCCCAGTTCCAGTGGCCGTAGGTCAACGTGGCGTGCAGCGGCAGCAATACATTGGGATGCCCTCCGTCCGCGTTCGGATCCATTCCTGGGCCGCCAATCAGCCAGCACACACAGTGAGGCCACGCCGCGACTGCGCGGCGCGTGAGAGCAAGTAGGCACCTCGGTCCAGCAACACCTCCAGGAGCTTACAGTTGGCATTCTTGGCCGCAGCCTCTAGAAATAGAGCACCAATGGCTGTGGCATGGTTGCAGTGTGATGCTCGAACCAGTAAGCGGCTTGGCACGCACGCAGAGCGCGCACAGCAGTTCAGGGAGAAGGGCTTACCCGGATCTCGAACGTTGACACCGTGTTCGGCAAGCAGATCTAGAACGTCCGTGACCATGTCCACATCACTGAAGCCGGGCTGCGAGCAGCGCGGCACCAGGGCCTTTCAAATTCGCGCTTTGTGTCAGCGCTACCCATTCACGGTGCGATTCCCCCGCACGCACCAAGATAGGGTTCTTTTGGTGGACGTCGGCTCCAGCTTCGATCAGGCATCGACAGATCTCCAGCGTCTCCTCCGGTGGCACGCGCTGGTGAAGTCTAAGATGAATACACAGAGCGCAGCAGCCAGGGGGAAAGGAGGGCAACCAGTTAGGGGGAGGAGTGAGCGTACTGCGAGCGCATGGTGGAGGGCGCCGAATCCGGAATCGTCGATCGCCTTGGCGTCGGCGCCGCGGCTGAGGAGATAGCGGATGAATGACAGGCTCGTGGTTACCGACCGGAGGGCGCTGTGGAGCGGGGTGCGCCCGCCCGCGCCAGCGAGATTGATGTCCACGCCGCACTACAGGAAGAATTCGACCAATGCCTGATCGAGTGCGCTAGCGGCGAGATGCAGCGGCGAAGCGAAAGTCTGCGCATAGGCGAGCAATGTTATAACATTGCTTCAACGTGAGGCCAGGCCCTGGGTAGTGTGATGATGAATGCGACTGGTCATATGGCGCACCTTCTGCCCCCGGGTCGTCGCTTGGATGAGCTGCGCGCCGCGTTCCACCAGCAGGCGCACGGTCGACTCGCGCCGGTGGAGCGTAGCTAGATGCAACGGCGATTGCTTTGATGGGCTGAGCGCGTTTAAGTCTGCGCAAACGTGAGCCCAGCACCCCACAAAGCGAGGCATGCATTTTGGAGGGGGGGCTCACCAGCGCCCTGTCTGAGCAAGAGCTCCACCATGGCCACACTTCCATTCTCGGCGGCAAAGACGTCAGCAGCTCGGACCATCTCCCGCGCTCGTTCCGGCCCGCCGGCCTTCGCCAGCAGTATTTCCATGATCTGCGCATCCAGTGAGCCACCATTCAACATTCTTGCACACCTCCGTGTGTGCGTGTGCGTGTGCGTGTGCGTTTAGCGAGTTATTCTTGAGTACCTTGGTGTGTCCGCCGGTGGCGGCCTGGTAGAAGAGAGGCAGCACACCCTTGCGCGTGTAGGTCGTTGATTGCTGCTCTCGGATGATCCGCGTGAAGTCATCGCCGCCAGCGCCATGCCGCAGCAGTACCTCGACGGCGTCGAGGAACCCCTTGGCCGCGGCGACGCCGACCGGCGTGGCGGCGTTGTGGATAACATTGACGTCGGCGCCGGCGAGGGCCAGGATGTCGAGCACGGGGGCGCTGCCCACATTGGCCGCCAGAAAGACCGGCCTCCCGCGGCCGTCGTTGGTGTGCCTGGAGTTGCCGTATTGGTCGACCGATACGGGCTGACAGCCGTTGAGCAGGTCAAGGCTCACCCGTGCGCCCTCCGTCGCCAGCAGATCGCGCAGCACCAGGTCGTGGCCACAACTGCAACACCACCTGCCAAATATTGACCGTGGTAGTCGCGCCAGAGTCAGCATTGCCCGTCGACATACCAGGCCGTGTGTCGTGTGTGTCGTGTGTGTCGTGTCATTGTGGAAATACCACGTACTTGATGATGTCCCTCAGGCGCTGTTCGTGGCTGGTGCAGGACTGAGAGTACAGGCGACGAAGCGCGATGGCCGCCTTCACACAGCGCTCACGCCAGCCCACTGCGCGGCATTGATCTTTTAAGTGAAAGAGAGCAAACACCGACAGGAAAGGGGAGGTCGGGTTGGGGGGGGGGGTGTACCAGAGGCGGCGGGGCGGGAGCTGAAGTGGCGCCGGAAGACGGTCTCCCACACGAACGGCGACGCGCAGGCGGAGTGCCACGCTCGGCACACGCTTTCGGCACGAGCGAGGCTGGTTGGGTCGAGCATGCTGACGATGTGCTGCATGACCTCGAGCGGCAGTACCTCATGCACCGCCTCGCCCCCTTCGTCTTCATAGGTGTCGTGGGCAGCATCCGCTACCGGCTCCTCCTCTTCACGCGCTCAACTCCCTCACCCTCGTCCTCGTATTCGTCGCGCCACAGCACGTCCATTGTCCGCTTGTGTCTCACAACCGACAAAACTGTGTCTCCGACCGCCACGCACTTGTGTGATTTGCAATGAAGACAATAGGGTGATGGTCGAACTTGGCGTTGTGTATTGTTGGATACGGCCATACTGCAGGAAGCATCGCTTCCCATCCGAACAGCGAAGTTAAGCTACGCCAGGCGGTGTTAGTACTGGGGTCCACCACCGCCCCAGGGCGCCCTGGGGCGTCCACCGCCATTGGCGAGCGTAAACTTGGGCTATCCCTTCGGTGTGAGGGAAAAGAAGAAAGACAAAGGAAATGTGCTTTTCCCAGCACCTTCTTTGTCTCAACCCCACAGCACACAACACGCCAGCGACTACCCAACTCTCGGCGTTAGCCCACACCAGAAAAAGCTCACGTACAGCCCTGTCCAAGAAGAAGACAAACACTGCCAACATCAACATCGACATCTCCACCAAAAGAAGAAAAAAAGGGGAAAAAAAGTACCGCTATGGCTCACCCACAACAACTCCCGCGCAAGGCGCTGATCGCGATCACGAGCTACAACGGCCCGTTCTGGAGCGACGGGACGAAAACGGGCCTCTTCTACACCGAGGCGCTGCACCCGTTCGAGGCCCTGGTCGCGGCCGGGTTCGAGGTGGACCTTGCATCGGAGACCGGCACCTACGGGCTCGACGAACACTCGATCAAGCCGCCGCTGCTGGGCGAGGCCGACGCGCACGCGCTCCACGACGCCGCGCACCCGTTCAACGCCAAGCTGCGGGGCCAGCTTAAGAGGGCGGCCGACGTCGACCCGTCGCAGTACGGCCTCTTCTTCGCGTCGGCCGGCCACGGCACCCTCTACGACTACCCGACCGCGCACGGACTGATCGGCATCGCCGCCGACGTGTACCGCCGCGGCGGCGTGGTGGCGGCCGTGTGCCACGGGCCGGCGATCCTGCCGGCGGTGGTCGACGCGGCCATGGGCGGGTCGATCATCGACGGGAAGACGGTGACGGGCTTCACGACGCTGGCCGAGGGCGCGCTGGGCGTGCTGGAGCGGATCCGGGCCGACGGGCTGCAGACGATCGAGGAGGGCGCCGAGCGGGTGGGCGCCCGGTACGTGGCGCCGCAGAAGCCCTTCGAGGCCTTCTCGCTGGTCGACGGGCGGGTGGTGACCGGCGCCAACCCGGCCAGCGCGCACCTCACCGCCGAGAACGCCATCGCCGTGTTCGACGCGCTCAGCTCCTGTTAACGGGTCTTGTAAATTAACAAAAACACAACCACGCAGTCGGAAGGGACACACGACACACACGACACACACGACACACACGACACACACGACACACACGACACACACGCACAGCCAACGGAGGCGGTGAGGGACGTGCCCGGACTGCGCATGCACAGTGACAGTGGTGCGTAGCGGTGCGCGTCCATCTTTCGGCGACGCACACCACCGTCTCCGTCTCCACGGCGACGGGCTCAAAGGGTAACTCGGGGAAGTGGGCGTCGGCGTCGGGCACGCGTAGCCTGTGGAGCACCGTGGCGTGGAGGCGCCGTAGTGCGGGGTGGCGCAGGGCGTCGGCGTAGAGACACTCGCCGCCAATGACCCACACGTTGGGGCAGTTGATGGCGAGCGCGAGTCGAGAGAAGTGCCAACGGCAACGCTGGGTGGGTAATCGGCAGCGACGGTGGTGCTGATGACGATCAGGGGGCGACCATTGGGCAGTGCTGCGTAGGTCTTGCGGCCATATTGATGGTGCCACCGCGAGTGGCCTGAGCAAAGAACTTCATGTCGGTGGGGATAGCACCATCGCCAATGGCACGATCGTGCTCGGCGTAGGCGGCAATGCCTCTTATGTCAAAGTTGGCCATAGTTGGGAAATAATACGGAGCCCCCTTTATTTCTGCACGGCCGGGAGGTGTTGTGGTTCCTCACCCGCGCCACAGCAGGATTCGTGGCCAATCACATTTACGAAGCGCACCGCCCTCAGGCGCCGATCTTCAAGACGATCTTGCCGGCGGGATGCGGGCGCGAACCTTCCAGCATCTCATGCGCCAGCCTGGCATCCGCAAAGGGTAGAACGGCGCCGACGTTGGTCACGAGCTCACGGGCGTCGAGCATCGCCGCAATCTCCGTCAAGGCGGCGGTCGTCACGTTGACAAGGAAGAAAGCGGCTTCCACGCCGCGGCGTTCGGCCTCCTCCCGATCCGGCTGCGAGACGGCCGAGATCAGCTTACCGCCGGCGCGCAGCACTTGGAAGGACCGTGCCTGCGTGTAGCCGCCAACAAGATCGATGACGGCATCGACCTCGTGCAACAGCTCTTCAAACGATTGGCTGCGGTCGATCACGCGGTCCGCACCGAGTTCCCGGACACGCTCGATATCACGGGCGCTCGCGGTGGCGGTGACTTCCAGGCCGGCGCGGTGGGCAAATTGTACGGCATAGGCGCCGACATTGCCGGCAGCGCCATGGATGAGCACGGACTGGCCACGCCGGAGCTTTGCCTGATCGAACAGCGCCTGCCATGCTGTCACGGCTATCACCGGAAGCGAGGCAGCCTCCACATCGTCGAGCCAGACCGGCTTCTTGGCAATCATGCCGGCCGAGGCGACGGCATAGTCCGCATAGGCGCCGATGAAGCGTGGATTGGTGGCGCCGAAGACGGCATCGCCGACCGCAAATTTGCTTACCCCAGGGCCGACGGCCTCGATGATGCCGGCAAGGTCCGAGCCGAGGGTCAGCGGCAAAGGTTGCGGCAGCGCGCTTTGGCCGGCGCGGATCCAGCCGTCCCAAGGGCCGACGCCGGCTGCACCGACGCGGATGAGCACTTCGTCACCACCCGGCCGTGGGCGGGCAATGTCCTCGATGACAATGGCATCGACACCGCCGAATTCATGGACCCTGGCGGCGCGCATCCGCGACGTTTCGGTGTTGGTGTACGTGTTCATGAGCTGCATTCCTTCGTGTTGATGCGAGGCCACTGAGAAGCAAGAATTACGCGATTAGAAGGATTATAGTCTTGAAGTTAATTGACCGTACCCTTGGCCCAGTTCTTGAGCTCTCCCTCAGTGATCGCGTCCCCCATGGGTGGCACTACCTGGGTCTTCGCCTCTGCAAAACAAAGTCAGGAAATGATCCGTGGAAATGTTGGGGTAACGAAGAGGAGGAGCACCGGCAGCATAGAATCTCTTGGGAAGAATGGAAAGGCCTCCATTCCGGGTGGTAAGGGTGGAACCACGCCCCGACAGGCGAACGGAAGATGAACAGCTCCCCCACAAGCCAGACATAGTGCTAGCTGCCCGACCCGGCTACAGATTATAATCACCATGAGTTAGCACCTTGGGGGAATGTTACGGTTAGTGATAAGCTTACCTGCAGCACAATACGCCCGAAGCGTGCATTGCAAAGACGGCTTAAGCTGGTGGTTTTCCTCATCCATCGATCTGTGTCTGCGGCCAAGTGACGGACTGTAAGCATTCAAAGCATGAAGAAATTGGCGGAATGCCCAGCATGAGTTAGCCACGTGTGCGGCAGAGCCAGGCCGTGCACCCCGGTTCTATCTGAAGCATGGGAATTTTAAGAGGTGAAGGATGTCATCATTCCCCATCTTCTTCACTTCCAGGTGTGCCCCCTCTCTGTCCTTTCCCCTCTGACCAATGACTCCTTGGGGTGGCATCATGGTACAGACACATCCCAAGCTCAGGAGGTTAACTGGAAAATCCTTTATCAGGTGGTTGCCACCCCACCAACATCCGCTACCCTCATTTTGGCGGGAAAGGCAGCCCAGAAACGCTGTTGAGGCTCAAGAACGCGCCAACAAGATTGGCACGAGACGGGGAGACGGGCAAGAATGAAGGGAGAGGTGAAGGCTCAGGTGGTGCGCGTGCCGACTGTCGCGTTCGTCTCGGTATCGAATCTGGTGGTGGGGCGGAGCCTGAGCGAATTGATACGAAATGGACGGTTGACGTACGACTGCACGCTTCGATTCGCTGATCACCAGCGCACCGTGCATGTGGCCGCCCTGATCGTCGAGGAGCGCAAGGAGGAGACCCCGCGCGGCATAAAGCGCGTCCTCGATGTCAAGCTTCTCGATCGCACCACCCACACGCAATTTGCGAATGAGGAGGAATGGGCGACCGATTGCCTGCGGCGCAAATGCAAGAAGCTGGCCTTCATCGCGTGGGACAAGATCCACGCTTGGACGAGCGATGATCAGGACCTCGGAAGCCTCAACGATCTGCGCCGCATCTCGCCCCATTCCGAAGACAAGTGAATCAGCGCCTGCCAAATCTCTCGGCCGGCGGCGAGTAGCAGCCAAGGATCCCGAGCACGAACACAACGAGGCCTCGTTGGGGCTGGGAGAGGAGAGCGACGAAGATGACGAGGGCGAGTGGCACACGCTGGATCAAATCATGAAGGGCGAGGAGGAAGAAGTAGATGTAGATGCAGTCGAGGCGGGCGAGCAGGGGGAGGCGGAGGCGGGCGAGCTCGCCGCAGCCGGCGATGCGGAGGTCACCAGCGAGGGGCACCAAGGGACCGAAACAACGGACGTCGTTGGCGGCGGCGTCGTGGAGGCCGGCAGCGACTGGGCGGCCATCAACGGCAACGAGGTGAGGGTCTTTGGAAGGCCCTTCCTCGGCTTCGGGGTACGTGCCGTGTGCCACATGTGTCGTGTGTGTGTCGTGTCGTGCGTGTCGTGTGTGTCGTGTGTCGTACTAAAGGTGGGTTGGTCGGTTGGCAGGCCTTCGCCACTGTGAAGCGCGGCGAGTGGATGGGCATTCCGGTCGCGATCAAGTCCATCAACAAACTGAAGAAGGGTCAGTACGCGCGGGGTGTTCAGAGGGAGCTGCAGATGTGGTGGTACGAGCTTGAGAGCTGCTGCACTATTGAACTTTCTTCTTCTTCTGAAGCCCAGCCAGGCCACTGATCAGCTAAGGGTGATAATGGTTGCGGCAGGCCGGCGAGGCATCCGCATATTGTGTCGCTCTACGGGGCGCTGGAGAGCGAGAGCCACATATTCATTGTGATGGAGCGGCTGCACATCAACCTGTCTCAGGCCGTGGAGCGCTTCTCGCGTCGGCTCGTGCTCGAGCACTGCAAGCGGTGGGCCACCCAGATCGCTAGCGCCATGCATTTCCTGCACTCGCGAGGCGTGATCCACCGCGACCTGAAGCTCGGCAACATCCTGCTGGTACACATTTTACACATTTCACACGAGCTACAACACACACACGACACACACACACCCGCGTTCACACACCATTGCGCTCACGCTCATCGCGTTGCATTGTGTTTCTTCTTCTTCTTCTCGATCGTAGACGAAAGATTTCAAGTCATGTAAGATAGCCGATTGTACGGTTTTCCCCCTCTCTGGTCACAACCGTGTTTCCGCCTCAAGCTAACTCTGTGTGCCGTGCCAACAGTTGGCACAGCGGTGAAGGAGAGCGAGGCGGACAACATACACGTGGGCACCACCGAGTACATGGCCCCAGAATTGCACGTGCGCAGCCCGCACAGCACGAAGATGGACGTGTACTCGTTCGGCATTCTGCTGTGGAAGCTGTTCAACCCCTACACCTACCCCTACCCCAAGCACGACCCTGTCAGCTACGGCGGCGGCAAGCGACACCGCCTTCACCTCCTCCGGTACAAACATGTTCCCACGCTGTGTGCGTGTGCGGTCGTGTGTGTGCGTGTGCGGTCGTCTGACTGTGTGGCAAAGGGTGGTGCACGAGGGCGCCCGGCCGCAGATGAGCAAGGCGTTCGTGCCGCCGGCGTGGCGCGAGCTCATGGAAGACTGCTGGGCGGCCGACCCCAACGCGCGGCCCACGTTCGACGAGGTCGTGCGCCGGCTCAAGGACCTCCCGGCGCCCTCGTGATATTTATTTGTTTATTATTTTTCATGCATTTTTATGTTTATTTTTAATTCTCTTTTGATTTCTTTCCAAGAGAAAGCCGAAGGTGACGATCAGGCGGAACTGGTTGATGAGGTGGCGGGTGATGGGTCATCGGTGCTTACTACCACCTCGACCAGCAAGGGCGCAAAATCGTAGAAGCGGATGGAGCTGTCGCGGAAGGCGGCGGCCACCCCGCGGCGCGTCACTTGCAGGCCGGTGAGGTCAGCAAAGCCGAGCGGACCGCCGGTGGGCACCGGCTCCTGGACAACGCGCACACGGTCCCCGAGCTGTCGGCCCGTCGACCTCCTCCTGCTGCTGCTGCTGCTGCTGGACCCCTCCTTCTCTCGGTGCGCTCGCCACTCGCTCGCCTCGCGGTGCAGGTCGATGAAGAAGACGCCGCCGTCGTCGCCGCCGACGAAGCATCGTCCCTCGTCTGCACGCAGGGCAGACAGAGTTGAGGGGTAGGGGTCAGTCCCACAACACTCAAACATCCAAAACCAGACTCTTTGAGGCCTCAAAGAGACTTGGAGATACCTCGGTCGACGACAATGCGGCTGATGAGGGGGAGGCTGTCGTCCTCGTCGATCAGCGTACCGTCGGCCATGGACCTGACACGCGCGCACAGTGATGAGCCCATGTTTTTGTTTTGTTTTTGTTTTGTTTTGTTTTTGTTTTGATGCGTACCAGAGACGAATGCCGCCGACCTCGTGAGACGACACGATAATGTCGTTGTGGAACTGGACTGCGTAGACGTCGCCCGTGCTCTCTGTTGTGATATCGCGAGTGTGTGAGCCAAGCTGGCGGCTTCCGCAGAGGGAAACACCACCACCACACGCACAAGGCCACGGGTGGCGGCGTACCGCCGTTGGTGGGCTCGCGGAGGGTGAGCAGCGGCTTGGCGAGGTTACGCAAGTCCCAGACCCGCACCGCGCCGCCCTCTCCGATCTCCTCCACCTCGCCCGCCACGAGCCTGCTGTCGTCAAAGGCAAACGGAGGCGACAGGTTCTCGCCCAGCGTGGCCTTACCAACACTGTGTCCGCCGTATACGTCAGCCATCGTGTGTGTGTCGTGTGTGTGCGTCGTGTGTGTGTGTCGTGTGTCGTGTGTGTGCGTGTGCGTGTGGCGAGGTGGGCCGGATCGCACTATTTCTTGGACACGCGCACGTCCCACAGCCAGACCTTGTTGCGGTAGATGGAGCCGGTGAGGAGCATGTTGGGGTCGGTGGGGTGGAAGTCGATCTGCTCCATCGGATAGCTGCACTCGAGCGTCTGCACCACCTCGCCCGTGTTGAGGTCCCAACACAGCACGTCGCCACAGGCTGCGTCGTTTCGGTCGAAAAATACCGGTTTGTCGGTAAGCAGCAGATTGGCCAATCGAGGTGCTGCGGCTCAAGGTGTACCTCCGACGAGGAACGGCGCGCGCAGAGCCAGGTCCTTTACCTCCTCGGCGCATGGGATCCGCTGCTTCTGCTCGCCGGTGGCCAGGTCCCAGACCAGCACGCCGGTCTTCGAGGCCACCGGCCGATCCGAGTAGGCGCCCACAACTATCTGTTACATACGACACGATACACGACACACACGCAGGCGTCAGTTCTCCGTGAGAGCGGCCATCGCCATCATTAGCCGCCACGCACCCGGTCGTCGTGGCACACGCACGAAATCGAGTTCCAGTTCCACTCATCAGTGTACGAGCCGTGCAGGCTGCCAGCGAGTGTGTTGTGTGTGTTGTGTCGTATGAGTGCCAAGTCACGAGAGGGAGCGAGCCGCAGAGGGTGCGCGGGTACCTGCCGTGAGCGTCCCACACGCGCACGCTGCCGTCGTCGCCGCCGGTGACGATGCGGCCGCCGGCGTCCACGGCGAGCGCGTTGACGCTGCTCTTGTCCCAGCCCTCGGGCTCTTCGTTCTCGTCATCGTGCGTCTCGTCCCACTTGACCAGCTCCTCGACGGTGTAGCGCACCGTCAGCGCTTCGGCCCGGTTGTGATACCAGTGCCGGGGCGTGAAGGCCAGCTGAGCCCAGTTGCGCTCCATGAGCTCGAGCAGCCGATGGAAGCGGCACCACGATGCGGTGCTCGGGCCGTGCTCCTGGTCCATGGCTTGCTTCAGCCGCTCCATCTCCATTTCAGGAGATGAAGATGGAGATGCAGAAGATGACGCGGGTGGAGGTGATGAGGAGTGGGACTGAGGGCTCGCTGTGTTGGGAGTACTGGTCCAGAGGTGGAGCGCCAGCGGACGCCAGAGCACGGCATCGTTGGCCTGCAGTCGCATCTTCCACGATTTCGAGACTTGGCCGAGCGCCCGCAGATCGGGCGGTGATGGAAACGTGAGGACGTACACCAGCAGCTCCTCTGGCAGTGCCTCCAGCCCATTCGCGCCTCCTGCAGCCCCGGCATCTTCTTGCTGCTTTGCAGCTTCCATCCTCTCCGCTACTCGGAAAATCAGAAAATAAATCGAGATGGCAGCTCGATCATTCGTTTTGCTCAACAGGCAGCGCGAGGTGTTGATGAAGTAATCTATTAGGTTATCCAGGCCTTCACAAGGCCTCTTCTCTTCTCTTCTCTTCCATTGCCTTCCTCCAATCTTCAATAGCTTCAGTCAAGTGGGGTGGTGTTGTTCTCGTTGAAGCGGAGCACAACGACCGAGATGTTGTCTGTCGAGCCCATGCAGTACGCCGCATCTGATCACACGACACACACGACGACACAACGACCACAAGGAGAGCACCGCGTGAGCAAATGGCAAGGGGATTCGAAGACGCGGGTGAACATACCTCGCAGCGCGATGGAAGCGCGCGCAGCGGTCGGTTGGGCCTCGGCGATGGCCACGGCCTGCTCGTTGGAGAGCACGTCCCACACGCCGTCGCACGCGAGGATCAACAGCGTGTCCTCTTCCGTCAACTCCACAGTCCTGCAGAGAGTGTTATTCATTGTTGCTGCGTTAGCGCAACAGGCCCGCCGTTTCGTGTGATGTGTGATGTGTGTGTGTACCTGACTTCGGGCATCCAGGTGATGCACTCCTGAAGCTCGCAGTCGCCCAGAGCGCGCGACAACGCAAGGATACCGCACACCCGGCTGTTTTCGGTGACGAAGCCGCCCTTGTCGCGGATGGACTGGCTCTCGGCAGGATTCTCCGGTTTGTGGTCTTCGGACATGGCCAGCGCCCGGCCACTGCCGCGCCCTAGCACCGCGCGCGAGTCGCCGGCATTGGCGACAATGAGGGTCGAATCCCTCACCCATGCCACCAGCGCCGCCGTTCCGTCATCTACTCGCTTCGCATCAATGTCGCCGTGCACCTGCCGGTGTGCGATGTGCGATGTGTCGCGTCGCAGTTAGTTTAAAACACTCTCGCACAAGCGCGCACTCGGCACGCACCTGCTTGAAGGTGTTGATGAGCGCCTGCTTGGGATCGTTCGTCGACTCCCAGTGTCGGCTCAAATATCTGAAGTCGTCGAAAGTACAGCGGTCAGCGAATCCGCGAAACAATTACAATGACGTGTGTGGTGGTGCGGCGAACCGATAAAAGCACGACGCGGCGATCTCGGCGGACCTCTTTCCGCCGTGCCCGTCAAACAGCCCTGCAAAATGCTCCTTGTCGCTTCCCCTGTTGTGGTGGTGGTGGCGGTGTTTTAGTGTGAGGTTAGGCGAGTCGCACACACGTGAGCCGTGGTGCATACCTGAAATTCTGTACAACGGAGAGTGTGTCCTGCTGTTCGGGTCGCCTGCCGCGCAGTTCCGCCCAACCCATCTCGCACCGCACTCGCGCCGACCGGCCGCTGCTGCTGGAAGCCGCCTCCGGCGCTGCCGGCGCATTCTTCTTGTCCCCCTTTTTCTTCTTCTTGTCATCTGCCCATGCAACGTCTGGTCAGACAACTTCGCCTCACACACTCACACACACACACACGACACGCGCACGACACACACACGACACACACGACACAGCACGACACACAGTGTCGACGGGATCGTACCGGGATCCTGCTTCTCCTTGCCCTTGGAGGCGTCGAGGAATTCGTCGTCGTCCTTCTTGGATTTGGTGTTCCGTCGCTTCTCTCGTCGCGGGGCGTGGCCGCCGGTGGCCACCGTCATGCCCTCCGAGGAGACCCACATATTCGGGTCCTCGAAGTGCGGGATGTGGCTCTTGGCTAACCGATTGTGGCCCAGCTTGAGCTGCACGCACCCCAAAAAAATCACTTGTTATTAAAGAATGGATATCATTATAAATACTTGAAATATAAATTTTAATTTATAATATTGTTACGATTATATTGTGTTGCAGTTGTTTCCCTGGTTAAAAAAGGCAAAATAAATAGTATGAGGGTTTACCTGACAGATTTGTTGGAAGGACTTGATGCCGACGGGGAGGCTGGTGAGCTCGTTGTGCGAGATGTCGAGCTCGGCCAGTCGTCGCAGCGCGGTGAACTCGGCCGGCAGCGCCGCGAGACAGTTGTGGGAGAGGTCGAGCTCCTTGAGGTTGATGAGGGCGCCGATCTCAGCCGGCAGCTCCTTGATCTCATTGCCGTTCATGTGCAGCACCTCGAGTCCACTATCCACCAGCAACAGCGATTTAGTCATCTTTGGGCAGAAGCACACACGACACACGACACACGACACACTCACGACACACTCACGACACGCAAGACGACGTACGCGAGCTTGCTGATGTGTGGCGGCACGACGGAGAAGTTGCTGTTGGCCAAGCTCAGCTCCCGGAGGGTGGTGAGCTCGAATACGACCGGCGGGAACTCGGTAAAGGAATTGCTGCCGATGTACAGATCCTTCAGCGCCACCATCTCTGTAGAAATACACACACACACACACACACACCACAGCGATCGCACGAGCGGTTAGCCGCAAGCTCGCACTCCTCACTAGGTGCGGGGGTGAACAGAGATGAGAGGACCACCGACCTTTCATCTGCTCGGGCAGGTGCTCGATTTTGTTGCAGCTGAGGTAGAGGCGCTGCAGTTTCGTGAGACGGCCGATGTCGTCCGGCACCACAGACAGCCCGTTGCCTGCCGAAGAAGCAAAAGAAAAGAAAAGAAAAGGTGATGAATGAGCTGAACAGGCCGGACGTAGAGCGAGAAGGTGTGGGTGGGTGGGAGATTATACCGAAGAGGTTGAGCTGGAGCAGGCCCGGCGCTTCGAACACGGACACGGGGAACTCCATGAGGTTGTTGTGGCCGAGCTCCAGGCACCAAAGGTGCTGCAGGTTGCTCAAATCGACGTTCAATTCTAAACACGCAGAAAACGAAAACAAAAAGTCGATACCTCCCAGTGAGCAAGATGGTCGCACACGCACACGCACACGGCGCACACAATAAATAATAAAATAATAATAATAATAATAATAATAATAAATAATTACAATAAAAAAAGGCCGGTTTGGTACCCGAGATGAAGTTGGCGGAGGCGGACAGGCGAGAGAGGCAGGAGAGCTGGGCAATCTCGCTTGGCAGTTCGGTGATCCTGTTGGAGGTGACGGACAGCTCCGAGAGCCCGACGAGGCCGCGGATGGACGCGGGCAGCGAGGTCAGCTCGTTGTTGTTGGCCCACAGCCGGCGCAGCGAGGTCAGCGTCTCCAGGCCCTCGGGCAGCGCCTGCAGCGTGTTGAACGACACGTCGAGCTCCTGAAGCGATACCAACCCGCCCAGGTCGGGCAGCTCAGAGATTCTGCATTCGAGTGCGATGTTGGCCACAATGTGAAGAATTAGTCGATTCGTTTTCAGCACAGCCAGAAGCCAGAGAGTGGTGGTGTCGGGTGGCGCACTGGTTCTCCCAGAAGTCGAGATTCCTCAAATTGCTCAGCCTGGTGATCTCGGGGGGCACCCACTGCAGAAAGGCGAAGAAAAAAAAAGAGGCCGGGGTCAGGCTGGTGAAGGCGTGCAAGAGGGCCTGCTGCCATAGACATGGCGTGACACGAAGATGGAGGTGGTCTCGAGGCGGAGGCGACGCACCGTGAGTTTGTTGTTGCCGAGCGAGAGCTCGAGGAGCTCGCTGAGGTTGCCGAGTTCGGCGGGGAGCGAGGTCAGACAGTTGTTGCGGAGCAGCAGGTGACGCAGCGCGGTGAGGTTGCCGATCTCGGGCGGGAGCGTGGTGAGGAAGTTGCAGCGCAGGTCGAGCTTCTGGAGGCACACCGCGTGCGACAGCTCGTTGCCGATCGACTTGAAATCGTTTCCCACCAGCTTGAGATTTGTGAGGGACGAGAACTGCGCGATGACAGCGGGCAGCTGGCAAGTACAACATAAACACCACAAGTATGAGCATTCTATCTGACGTACATGCGTGTCGTGTCGTGTCGTGTCGTGTGTGCGTTGCGTTGCGGTGAGAGGAGGGAGCCTAACCGTGGAGAAGGCGTTATGCGCAATGTCGAGGTTCTCCAGGGCGGTGAGGCTCTGGAGCTCGTCAGGCAGCGTGGTGAGGCGATTGATGTACAGATTGAGCGTGTGCAACGCCGTCAGCTTGCCCACCTCCGGTGGCACCTCCTCCAGTCGGTTCCAGTGCACGTGCAACTCTGTACTCGGACACACGCACAGAGGACGCACACACAGAGCGTGAGTTACAAAAAAAAGTGAGTCAAGTCATTGAAGTTGTAATAAAAAGGACTTACAAATATAACAAGTGATATAAGTAACACCACCCAATAACGATCGTAGAGAGCTCTCCGAAGCCAGCACACAATCAAAGCAAAAAGGCAAATAATAAGAATAAGAATAAGAACTAAATAAGTGGGTGGTGTCCAAAGAGTCTGGAGGGGAACAACATCAACGGAAGAATGGAAATAAAAATTGAATCTGGGGAGGTACCTTTGAGAAGGGAGAGGTCGCCGATTTGGGGTGGAAGAGAGGAGAGGAGGTTCTTGCCGAGATCGAGAGTGGTGAGGTGGGCGAGGGCGCCGATTTCCGGTGGAAGGGACTTGAGCTTGTTACCAAAGAGCCGAAAGATGGTGAGGCGGGTGAGGTTGGCGATCTCGGGTGGGAGCGATTCTATGGCGTTGTGATTGAGACTGAGCCATGTCAATTCCTCGATTATGAAGTCCTTCGGCAGATCCGTGAGGTTCTGGTTCTTGAGGTCCAATCGATCGCCGAAATCGCGAGGGAGGTTGTGGTGATGCTGGGCGGGGGCGCTTGCGCCAGCGCCATCTCCGCTCCCCTTCTGTTCGCGCGATGTGCCGTAGCTAATTCGTAGCAAATTTCCCATCGCGTCGATCCTGCGCAGTCAGGCCAGGGCCGTTGTGGGATGCGATCTACCGCGGAGGTCTGTCTAGCCCAACAAGAGGGGAGTCAGAATGGGAGAACAAGTTCAAAGTTGACAAAACAAATGTGATTGTTGGCAAAAATCGAAATTAGGGCCGAAGTGGTGACCAGGTGACCACGACAGCGAAGAGCCTTGTGTGCCTCCTGCCCAAGAAGAACGAAAACGAACGAAAGAGATGGAGATCGGCGCGGGGGGGGGGGTGCAGGTACCTAATTCGTCTTGCTCTTCCGGAAGATGCTGGCAGGAGTGAATACACCAGAAACGGGGCCGAGGGGATGGCCTTGCTGCTATCTTCGTGCTGCTCTCTTCGTGTTTTGTCGTGAACGGTAATAACGTTACGGCCGGTTGCAGAAGGTTAGAGAGGGAGAGGATAGAAGCCGCGTAGGCGCCCTACAGACGTCTGTTTTTTCTGCGTTTCGCGGAAGGCAATGAAGGTTGTTGTCCCTCTTGCTTGGTGGTGTTGCCCAGCTGTTGTGTCTCGTTGCGCCAACAACACCAGGCACCTATTTGAGGCTCTCTTCTACACAAGTGCCGACTCCAAGAGGAGAAGAGAGAGGACGTTGCTCCGTGTGCTGAGGGTCTCAAATTAATAATAACCTTCTCTAAAATTGCTTTACTTGGAAGAGACGGCGAGGGGTTTATTACACGGCAGACAACGAAAAGAGGGGCAAGCAAAGGCGAGGTGAAGGCAGGTTGAAGAAGAAGGTGAAGAAGGGGGGATGTGGCCCTGAAGAAGCGCGAAAATGGGGGTTGTTCGCGAACAAGGTGACGTGTTGCGCGCGATGGTGCCAAGTGAAAGAGAGGAAAACAGAAGAGAGAAGAGGATTTAGCGGAGGGAAAGAGAGATGCCGAGGACGAGGGCCACGACCACCACGGCAACGACGGCCAGGATGATGACCACCAGGCAGCACATCTTGGTACGCGCGGCTTGCTGGTACTCGGCAGCTTTCCGCAACTCCACCACGCCCCGCCCCGTGTTGGAGACGGTCGAATCGATGTGGCTCTCGATGTTGTCTGCACGCAATTGCAGAGCGTGAGGCGGTCATCGACATCAATGAATCGCAGGGCGTGTGGTGCGTGTGGGATGGCCACGAGGCCTAGGCAGTGCGGGGGTTGCTGCGTACCGACCATGCCCGCCTGCTCGTTGACGAGCGTGGCGAGGTCGACGAAAATGTCGTTCACCTCCTGGATGGTGGACTCGATCTGCTTGATGCCCTCCTCCCTCTCCTCGATGAGCGCGCTCTGGAAGTCCCTGTCGGCATCGAGCTGCATCAGCTGCTGCCTTTTCTGCGACTGCATGAGGCTGTGCTGCTCATCTTCAGACTCGTCCATGAACGGACTGCACCAGGCCAAACAACAGTCAGTTGTTAGTGCAAGCAGCTACACAGCAGCACGACACGCACGACACACGCAGCATTGCAACCGCGCCACACCAAATGTGAGCGAATGAAGGAGGAGGAGAAGAGGCGGCGTACGCAGGGTTGGAGAGGAGCCCGCCCTTGGTGGGCTTGGGTGCAACGGTTTCGTTGGACTTGTTGATGGCCACCTTCGAGACGTCCTGGAACCTTTCCAGGCACGCCTGGAAATCGTTCCTCAGCTTGCTCGTCCTCCTCTTGTCCTCCTGTTGATTATGCAGCCATTTAATTTGTCATCATCACTGAGTGGCAGGGAGGGGAGAAATCATGCGAGTAGAGGAGGCGAACCGCAGGATTCATGGTCTGTGAGTGTGAGAGATCCTTGAAGGATTTGTTAGCCTCGGCAGCGATCCTCTTTGTGTCCTCGATCATATCCCTGAGCTTGATTCGCATGTCGTGCGAGTCTCTGCTCGGGTTGCCCATCGTCTTCACCATGGTGGCGATTTGGTTGACGTTCTGATTGATCAATTTGATGTTGTTCGCCACGATCTGGTAGAGCCTCTCGAAGTCCTGGCCGGGCGCCCCCATGTAGCTCGATGTGTTCGGTCGATAGGCGGCCCCGCCGCCCGCCTGGTAGGTCTGGCCCCACTGGGACCGCGACCGTCCCGAATATCTCCCTCCATCGGCATCTTGGAAGCTCATCTTTGCCTCTTTCTTGTTTTTTTGTGATGATTATTCTATCAAAATGCCCTCTCCTCCCTCAATCGAAAGAAGAAATCAATTGGACGCTATGGTGATTGCTCTTCTTCGCCTCCTCGTGAACGATTTGCAGGGAAGTCGGGTGGCGCCCGAAGGAATACGAAAACGAGAAACGCGGATCACTTTTCAACGGCCCGCGCAAACGCGTGGTGCGGTCCTGTGGTTTTTCACGCACACCTTACTCTGGCGCTCGCTTGGGCCGATTGTGTGCTTTGCAGCCCAAAACGTGAAGTTGTCATTGAGGCAAGCATTCCCCCTCGGTGCCGAAAGGACCAGATAGATAAGGTCAAAATAATAATACATAAATAAATAAAAGTACTAAACCGCGCATATTTGGCATAGCGGTGGCGAAGTGGTTTTTTTTTTTCTTTTTGGCCGCTGTCATTTTTTGTTGTTTTCTTGTCGCCGCGTGGTTGCTGTGTGTCGTCGCTACTCGCCGCGAGTCCGCACCCTCCCCACACCTTCTTCACCCCCGCCCTCCTCTTCACTCTCCGTTGTCCCTCCGGACCAAGGTTCGCACTCTCATCCTTTTCCTTCTTCGACCTCTCGCGCTGTCTGAAGGCAGGCCGCGGATCAATTCATTTCATTTCTGTTTGCGCCCGACCGCCGTCGACACTCGCGGAGGCAATCAATGACATTGTTGCGCTTTTTCTTTTAGAAATTGACACCTAGTTGATCGATAGATCTAGATACACATGGGAGAATCCGGTCACTCGCCCGCCCTTGTGGGCAAGCACTTCATCATGAACTACTACACGATTCTGCACGATGAGCCGCAATCGCTGTACAAGTTCTACAAGGATGACTCCGTCTACAGTTTCGGCACCGAGGGGGAACCCCTCTCGCCCGAATCCACCGTCACTGGCCAATCGGTATCGATTCCTCATGGGGATCTGGCATTAATGTGACACTAAGGCCTCACCATCGCATTTTCACAGAACATCAACGAGAAGATTGCTTCGCTGGGCTTCAAGAAGAGCAAGGTCCATCTCTCGGTCATGGACGCTCAGCCCACTCTCGGAGGTGGAGTGTTGCTCATGGTGAAGGGTACCATCACCAATGAGACTGGCAACGCACCCTCGCCGCGCAAGTTTGTCCAGACCTTCCTCCTCGCCCAGCAGCCCACTGGCTACTATGTCCGCAACGACATCCTCCGCTACCTTGCCGAGGAGTCGGCCAAGACTACCAGCGGTACCTCCCTCCTCAAATCTAAAAATCGAATTATTAATGGCCAATTGTCACTCCATCCGATCTTCCTGCATCCTTTTGGGACACTCCATTCAGCGAATTAATCGCACTTGGTGGCATTATTATTTTTGCATTCTAATTCGTTTTTGGTTCAGCGGTCCACACCCAAACCGAGGCCGCCCCTGTTGTGGAGAAGCCCAAGGAAGCCGCCGAGACCAAGCCGGCCGAGCCCGAGCAGCCCGCTGCCACCTCCGTCGCCGCTCAGCAGTCCACCCCTGCCACCCCCGTTCCCGAGGCTGCCCAGGAGGAGACCAAGCCCCAGGGTACCACCACACCCCACTCCACCACCATACTGCTGCAGGTCAGCTGGCTCGCCGCAAGCACTGACCTCTCTGCCGCCCGCATGCTGTTGTTTGTGCCGCACACAGAGCCGGAGCAGCCCAAGGAAGCTGCCGCCCCTGCCCCCGCTGCGGTCGAGGCGGAGCCCAAGGAGACCCCGACGCCTGTCGCCGCTGTCACCCCCGCTCCCGCGGCTGCTGCCAAGGAGACCCCTGTTCCCGTCGCCGCTGTCACCCCGGCCGCTGCTGCTCCCAGCGCTGCCGGCAAGGCAAGCCCCGCGGCCAAGCCCGCTCGCGCTCCCCAGGCCGGTCGGGGTAAGGGCAAGGACGACAAGGCCCGCACGCCCGCCTCGCCCGCCGCCGCCGCTACGGAGACCGCCGCTGCCGCTGCGCCCGCTGCCAAGGCCGAGCCGGCCCCGGTCGACAACAGCTGGGCCGCCCTCGCCGCCCGCAAGAAGGACGTCCCGGTCACGCCCCTCGCCGCTCAGCCCCGCGCCGCGCCCAAGGTCGTCAAGAAGGCCGCGCCCGCCGCTGGCGACGAGTCCTCGGCCACCGGCGCCGCTACTCCCGCCAAGGAGGGAGAGACCGCTGCGCCCGCCGCTGAGCAGTCGCCGGCCGCGCCCGCCGACAAGAAGGTGGTGTCCGACCCCAACTCGATCTACGTGAGCAACCTGCCCTTCGCCGCCAAGCAGACCCAGGTGACCGACGCCTTCAAGGGCTTCGGCAAGATCGTCTCCGTGTCGATGCAGAACGACAAGGGCTACGCCTTCATCGAGTACGACACCGTCGAGGCCGCCCACAGCGCCATCAAGCTCGCCACCGAGAACCCCGTACGCCTACCCCCCCCCAAACCGCCATGACCACACTCCGTTTCGCATTTCTCACATGACACACACAACACACACACACAACACACACACACACACAACACACACGCACGACACGACACACGCCAGATCTCGATGGACGGCAGAGTCCTGAGGGTGGAGGAGAGGAAGACCAAGCGCGGCGGCAGCGGCGTCGGCGGACGCAAGGTGCCCGGCGGCGGTCGTCCCACCGGCAGCGACAGGGGCGACCGAGTCCCGCGCGGCCCGCGCCCCGAGGGCAAGGACAGAGCGGCCGGCTCCCCGCGCCCCAACGGCAGCGACAGGAGGGACCGCGCGCCCAGGAGCGACAAGCGCGCGCCCGGCACCGGCTCGCCGGCCGTCGGTCGTCCCGCTGCCGGAGGCCCCTCGTCCGGCGGCCCGCCCAGGCGCCCGGCTCCCGCTGCGGCCACTGCTGCTTCGGCCCCGGCCGCCGGAGGAGCTGCTGCCGGCAAGAAGTAAGCCGATCGCCACCAACAACCACAACAACGACCACGACCTGCGACCCTGGCAGATGAACGACCCAACGAACGAAGCCGACAGCGACCAACCATCAACCCAACCATCAATCAAAACGAACCAACGACGAACGAGTGGGTGGACACCTCCAAGAGTGGCCACCACGCGGAAGCGAGAGAGACAGAGGAGAGGAGAGGAAACAAAAACCACCGCGACAGGACGAGGAAGGAGCAGGAGGAGGCGGAAGAGAGAGAGAGAGGTAAGGCCGACATGAGAGAGAGAGGGAGGAGCATACCAGCATTGGTCTCCTCTCTCACTCTTGGTGTCGTCTTCCTCGATCTCGACTGTGTGTGAATTGTGTGGCGGGCGAGTTTGTGTGGCGGGTGTGCGTCTTCTTCCTCTCTTTCAATTTTATTTATTCTTTCTGTCTTTGCTCTCCTTTTCTGTTGTACCACAACCACCCTGAACAATGATCTCCCCACATACAACACACACGCGCCTTCGGTCGCACAACACGACACGCACGCGTTGGGGTACGGATCAGTTGTCCGTGGTGTTCTGGCGTTTGGGCGAGAGGCCCAGGGCGTGGACCAGCATGCGTCGCGCTACGCGGGCGTCCGTGGGTGGTCGCGGCACCACGCTCTTGGCCACCTCCAGCGCCACTGTCCCCCAAGCAACGCAAACGAGTTGAGCACACGATCGCGCAGAAGAAGAAGATGATGAAGGTGCATGTGGGGAGGAGGCACCTCCTCGGATGGCTTTGGACTCAGAGCTGGCCTCTGCCAGTGGTCGAAGCTTGAACTGGCCACCGGCGGCTGTCGTGTGGCGCACCATCGCCTCTTGCGCTGTTGTTACGTTCACAAGTGTGAGTTCAACTGAAAGTTGCTTCACGGGGGCGAATGAAGAGAATGAAACCTTCAAGGTGGGAGGCAAAGGCAGCCAGCGCGGTGGTGTGGTTGACCCGCCTGAGCCGCCCCGCGGTCTGCGCGAAGCCGCTGGTGGTGTCGGCCGCACCAAAGAGGAGGCTCACGAGCTCCTGGTCGCTAATGGATGGCTCCATGTCATAGAGCTCCACCACATGCGCCGGGTAGTCGTTCACCACCACTGACACGTTTGTTGTTTTTTTCTCGTCAGCATCACATTGTGTGCGTGTCGTGTGTGTCGTGTGTGTCGTGTCGTGTGTGTCGTGTCGTGTGTGCGTCGTGTGTGCGTTATACCTTCGGGATCTGGCTCCTCCTCGTGGGCGGAGCGCCTGCTCTCGGAGCGTCGATCCCGTCGGCCGCGGTTGAGCGACGCCCAGGGATCGGGAGACGACCGCCCCGGCGACCCTCTCCGCCCGCCTTCCCCCACGGCCGTCGCACCCACCGAAGCCGCCGCCGCCGCCGCCCACTCCGCGAACGCGGCCTCATCGACCAGCGCCTTCAGCTCCGCGTCGTGCCTGTCCAGCACTTCCTCCAGCTCCTCGTCCACCTTCGTCGCCGGCCGCGTCGTCGTCGTCGTCATCGCCGTGTTCGTCGTATCCTCCTCGCCGAAGCCGCGCTCGCGCCTCCGCTTCGTGGTGTGCTCCTGCTCCTCCTGCTCGAGTAGTACCTCCAGGCCGCTGTCGGCCGCCGTCGGCGAGTGGTCCCTGTGGGCTTCCTGGGCCTCGTCTCGGTGCCGTCGGGAGGGCGGCACGTAGAGGCCGCCGCGGCCGCGGCCGCCGGCTGCTGTGGCCGGGTCTCGCCTGGACGGTGGCACGTAGACGCCGCGAGGCTCCCGCGCTGGGCGGGTCGTCGCCCGACCCTGGGCGCCGGCCATGCTGGGTGGCTCACCACGCGTCTCGTCGCCCACCGGCACCACCGCGGCCGTGTCGCTGGGGGTCGCCTCGGTGGCTGGCGCCGGTCGTTGTGGCGCCTTCGCTACAAAGTCTGCGTAGCGCAAAAAGGGACTGCACGACACGACACGACACGACACGACACGACACACACGACACACACGACACACGAACGGCATAGCAGTTGAGCGCGTTGGGTGTCGCGTGCGTTGCGTGGAATGTTTGTTTGGGGGGGGGAGTAGTACGCGGCATCTTTGGGCTGCGCGTGGGCCGCGAGCACGACGGTGCGGCGGTTGTCGGCGCCCCCGATGGAGAAGGACTCCAGGCCTTCGAAGCGCTCCGCGGTCTTGTGCACCAGCAGGCGGCCGTACCCGCCCAGCCCCGCAAACACCACGCACACCTTGCCCCGGGGCTTCTCTCCGCCTCCGGACCAGTCCCGTCGTCTGCGTGTGGTGCAGCTGCCGCGGCCACAAGCGCTACCAGCTCGGCCTCGATCGCCAGCGCCAGCCGCCGGCCTCGCCGCGTGCCCAGAACCCGTGCAAGCACCGGACCTTCATCATCCATCTTCTTCAGATCAATTTTTTTAAAAAATATATTTACACCATAAATTTTGCATTATTTTTATGTTTATTGTGACCCCGGGCGGCCGTGATCAGTAGACGTCGACTTGCAGACGTCCGCTGTTTTGGAGCTGGGCGATTCGGTCATTGGCCTCGTTGGCCGGAACGCGGCCGACTTCGGTCATGGTACGCTGGAGCGCCTCCTTCACGCCATCAAACAGCAGCGTGTGCCTGATCACATTATGTGTCGTCGTGTGTCGTGTGTCGTGTGTGTCGTGTCGTTTGTCATGAACATTGCGTTATCGCGCAAAGAACGCAAACCAAGGGGCAGTACCCGCAGACGTAGGTGTTGGCCTGCTCCTTCTCGATGAGCTGCCACAGCATGGGCATGTCCTCCATCATGCGGTGCTGCGCGAAAGTGGGCGGCTGGTTGGGGGCGTGGTCCTCCGAGAACGCCATGCGCAGCTTGAGCAGGCCGTCCCGCTCGTAGCCCGTCAACTCGGACTCGTACAGGAAGTCCTTGCTCTAAGCGCGCAGAAGGAATGCAGTGGTCGATGAGAGAATGAGGATCATCATCATTCCTTATCTCTTCATCAGCCCAGAAGGCAGCGCACCTTGCTGTAGACCCCAAAGTAGAGCACGTTCTTGGACTTCTCGTAGGGCAGAGAGGCTGTGGTGGTGGTGAATGTGAGGAATGATCAACGTGCAAATAGGTGAATGTGAGGAATGTGTATGGTTTCACGTGAATGGTACCTTGGTCGCACTGCAACTTTCGCTCCTGCATGAAGCCGTGGAACGGGGCGATGCCGCAGCCGGCCGCGACCATGATGATGGGCACCTCTGCAAGCGGACGGCGCCGACGTCAGCGGGAAAAATGCGAAATAGGGCACGCACGCACGCAGCGCTACTATGATGAGAATGCGCGTACCGGGCGACTTGGGCAGGCGGAAGAGGGAGGTCTTGACAAAGAGCCGGGCGGTCTGGCCGGGCTTCAGGGCGCAGATGTATCGGCTGCACACGCCGTAGTGGTCCGCGCCCGACTCGGCCTTGGTCTTGGCCAGGGCCACAGTCAACTGCATCCGACCCTCCTTGAACTGTGGTGGTGGCCAACAACACAACGTCAAACCTTTCGCCTTGTGTGCGGTGTGTGCGGTGTGTGCGGTGGCTGTCGTCGTGTTGCTAACCTTGGGGGAAGAGGCGATGGAGTAGTATCGGGGCAGAAGAGGGGGCGCCAGGCTAAGGAGCGAATCGAGGCCGAGCCGGAGCGAGGGGTTGTCCTTGAGGATGTGGTACAGGCCGCGCTTCTCGCGGACGCAGAATTCGGCGTAGTCGTCGCTCGACAGCCGGGCTCGCGTGGCCTCGTCCCCCGCAAACGCCGACAGCCGAGCGAACAGAGACTTGCGGGGCCTGCCGGTCAGGTCCACGTTCTCGAGGAAGTGCTGCTTGATGGTCCGCGGCGTGGAGAACTCGCCGGCGCCTGCGGCGTGGTTTCAATTCCGTGTTTCAGGGTAGGCCACACATACGACACAAACGTACCATCAGCGGCGCTTTTGAGGGCGATCACCTGGTCGGGGTCGATGTTGAGGGACTGGAGCAGGTCGTTGACCATTTGCTCGTCGTTCACCGGGAACACGCCCAAGTAGTCTCCAGTCTGGTAGCTGGCGTTGTTTCCATTGGCTGCGCGTCAGCCGAATCGATGACATGGACCCACGCTCAGGTGGAGGGGGATGGGCGTACGTGATGCCGGTGTTGGACAGTTCGATCTCGAGGTGTCTGGTGGAGCGGTCGGAGGCGGCGCTCTGGAGCTCCTCGTTCTCCACAACCCGGGCCTCCACCGGGTTCACGATCGAGATCGGCTCCGCCGGATTCCTGCTGACCAGCCCCGCAGCCAGTCAGCTTTCCACCATCATGCCGACACTCCAGCGGCCCCAAAGTGGTTGAGTTCGAGTACCTCTGGTAGGTCGATGCGGGCGCTGCGGATCTGTCCAGCACTCGGATTTGCACCGAGGGCTTCTCGGGCTCGGCCTTGGGCGGTTGCGCGGCAGGCGCAGCTGCGGCCGGAGCTGCGGCGGCCGTTGTGTTGGCGGCGTCGGCGGATTCCCCGTCGCCACCGGCTCCCGTGAGAGACTGCAGCAGCTTGTCCTTCCAGGCCGTGAAGTCCGCCTCAACACTGCAACCCGCCCGCCACTCACGTTAGTCATCACCTTCATATCACGCGGTTGTGTGGCGTTGCGTTGCGTTGAATTGTTTAGTTGACTCACTCGTCGCTGTCGTCGCCTTCACCCCGGGCGAAGATGCGCTGGGCGCCCAACTCCTCCAGGCGCTTGTCCACGCTCCGCCCTACGGCCTGGTAGCACGCCGGGTAGGCCTTGCTCTGGCCCAGCCCGAAGACCTGGCACGCATCGACGAACGATTGTTAGCGACGACACGGCACACGGCACACGGCACACCACACGACCACGTCAAGACATGCGCTCCCAGCCGCCACACAAAGAGAGAAGAGATCGTACGGTGTAGCGGACGTCCTTGAGGCTGCCCTGCTTGCGCTCCTTGGCCATGACAAAGTCGTAGAACTGCTTGGCGTTGTCGGTGGGCTCGCCCTGCCCGTAGCACGCCAGCACCAACGCGAGCGGCTCCTTCTCCGTCGCCAGTTTTTTCTGTGTGTTGTGTGTGGTGTGGGAAGTGTGAGTGTGTGTCGTGCGCTTGACGCTTGCCACGCGATGTTGAGTGCAGGAGGTACGTACCGAGTTGTACTTGCGGAGGTCCATCGAGGTGGCGGTGATGCCCTGCGCGGACAGCTCGCGGGCCAGGTCGTCGGCGAAGCCCGTGGCCGTGCCGGTCTGCGAGCCCCACAGCACCTTCATCGACTTCACCTCGGCCAACGCCTGCTCTCAACCACCACCCCACGCATCAGCTCTACTTGCCCAAGCCTGAATGAACCTTAACGGGGGGGGGGCGGAGTGCTCACCTTGGGCGATGGGTGGAGGTGTCGCTGGCACAGGCGGCCGCTAGCGGAATGTGTAGAGGGCAGGATGTGGGTGCTGTGCGGGAGGCCTCCATGGGTGCGGAACGACAAGCGGCAAGCTCGCTGCATCTTGTCTTCTGTCGTGTGTAATGTTGGGATGTGTTTGCCAGCGTTTGCTTTGCTTCAGCGACCAATCGGCAAAACTCGAAGAGGAAAAGTCAGTGATTTTTGCCGCATTTATGCGCCACTTCTCAAAAAGAAATTCAAGCCCAAGCAGGAGAAAAGAAAGAGAAAATACATAGAATGACAAGAACATGCGCGTTCATGGCGCGTGTTTAGTGAGGACGGGGTGCACCAGCCACTGCCGGTTCTTCTGTACAACGTAGGGCATGGTGGGGTACACCGCTCCCGTGGTGGTGGTAATGGTGGTGCTCTGCGCGATGACGCTGTCGGCGGAAGAGGACAGGCCAGCGCCCTGCACGTTGCCCGAGATCTTCCACAGCGGGAAGAGGTTGCGCATGCTCTTGAGCTTCTCCTTGATGTCGACCTGCTGCGCCATCGGATGGCGCTTGAACCGCCGGCGCAGCTCCGCGTTGCCCGAGATCTTCCACGCGCAGTAGTCCAGCAGCGGCAGCACCGTCCGCTGGTGGCCGCGGTCGAAGCTGTACCCCACGTCTGTCTTGTACAGCGCCCGGTGGCGCACGGCGGGTGATGATGAAGAAGACGACGATGATGGTGATGAAGAAGACGAGGTTGATGAAGGTGGTGATGACGTGGATGATGACGTCATGACGACGAAGGAGACGATGAGGCAGTTGGGCAGGTTTTCGTTGAGGTGGAACAGGAAGCTGCCCTCGCGTTCGCCGCGCAGCAGAGCGCGGGCCTGGGCGAGGGTGACGAAGCCGTGGAAGTAGGTCCCGGCGTTCTCCAGGAGTTCGCGCTTCCGCTCGAGCGCGTTCTCGATCATGCGCGACACGGCCCGCTCGAACGGGTCGGTACGCAACACCACCGTGTGCAGCGCGCCGTTCCACCTGTGAACGCGGTCGATCATCATCGGTTGGTGATGACGCCGACCAGCACGACACGCCACATCGCACATACGACACGACATAAGCTAATTGAGAAGGACGCACTGGTATTGGTTGCCGATCCGCAGGTCCTGCATGCGCCGGTTGACCTTCAACACGCCCGCGAGCGCAACCAATCCTTGGAGGGAAAAGTAAGAAGACAAAGAAAGAAAGAAAGAAGGGTCAGCGGCGAACAGGGGTGTGAGTGGGTCCGTGGGGGGGGAGAGCGTGTACCCTCCTTGCCGATGAAGTTGTGCGAGAGGTCGAGGAGCCGAACGGATCGATTGGAGGTCGACAACGCCTTGGCGAGGGCGATGGCGCCCGCGTCTGTGATGCTATTCACGCTCAAGTCCACGTTCGTGAGGCTCTCGTTGACCCTGTGAAACGCTGATGAGCCAATAACCGCACACGCACACGCACGCGCACACGCACACGCGCACACAACTAAGTACCGTAGAGCGTCGGCAAGCCAGCCGGCTTCCTTGTCGGTGAAATTGGGCGAGAAGTTGAGGTTCATGAAGGAGCCCTCCTCGCCCAGCACCGATAGGCTCACGAGCGTCTCGTTGTAGGCCAGCGCCTCCAGGATCACCTTTTCGATACATTTGATCAATCGATCGACCAATCACCAGTCAGCTACGTAGGTTTGGATTGGTCTGATTAGTGATCACGGGCGAGTGGGTGCGCACCTTGGCTGCGTTGTCCTGCAGCGGGAGCAGTTCGGGGGCGACGTACTCCTTGCCGCAGTAGCGCACGAAGGTGCGCTTCTCCGTACCGCCGCCACCGGTGCCATTGCCCGAATGTTCGCCGGCCACGGTTGGCAGCCGAAAATCGTTCATGAAGGGCGCGGCCGCCGCTGCGTACAGGTCCATCCCCATCATCCCGCCCAACTGATTGTTCTGCACAGAACACAGCACAGCACAACACACACGACAACCGCACACGCGTGCGTCAGGACACTACTATAGGTGGGCGAAGAAGAGAGAGAGAGAGAGTGTGTGTGAGTGTCGTGTCGTGTACCCCGCGCGAGATGTCCCAGGCCGTGTTGAGCGAGGAGCACTGGGTGACGGAGAGACACCAGCTGAGGGTGGTCAGGGAGGTCATGTTCTGCTCCAACAGCTCGACCACCCGCGCCACGACCTCGATACTCGACTTGGTCGTGTTCTTCGTGAGACCCTGCCTCGTCTGCGCCCGAGGCTGCTCCTTGGACAATGGGTACTGTGTACGGTCACGTGCAGTGTGTGTGTGTGTGTGTGGCGCGGCGGCGTGTGCGTGTGCGTGAGTGTGCGTGTGTGTGCGTGTGCGTGTGTGGAGACATGGTCATCAGGAACAGAACACGAGCAAATGAAGAAAGAAAGCAAAGCGCACCCGAAGAAAGTCGCAGTTGCGGATGAGGGAGGTGAGGTTCCAAAACTTGTCCTTGTCGGAGGCCGGCTTCTCGGTGAGCGAGTAGCCGGGGAAGAGTCCGTAGATGAGGTTGTGCTTGACCAGGCCCTTCTCCGCGACGAACGTCATCGCGTAGCACCCTGTGACCAGCCACGGGTGTTAGGCCGTGCGTGTGCGTGTGCGTGTGCGTGTGCGTGTGCGTGTGCGTGTGCGTGCCTCAGCCTTACCTCGATGTGAGCTGGAGACGAGCAACGGGTCATACAAGTGCCGGGGAAGAAAAGAAAAGGTGAGTGTGGACCCGATAGAGAGAAGTCGAATGATCATTCGAAGCGCAAGCCGCACCTCGGCCGGATGAGGAACGTGCCGACCGGCTTGCCCTTGAGCAGCGACATGGCATCGTCGCGCGTGGCTTTAGTGTCACAGCCGTGCGGTTGCGTTCAAGTGTGAGATTGATGCCGGTCCAGAAGGAGGGAGGGCATGCAGAAGACAAGAGAGGACAGCGGTACCGTTCTTGTGGTACCAGCCTTGAGCTGCAGCGGCGCATAGACGAGGAAAGTGCACGTGTCAGCAGGCGCCAAAAGATAAAATAAAAATGAAAAATGATGACGGGGGTGGCGCGTACTGAAATCTTCGCTTGTCATGCTGAAGCTCACCCTTGCAAGCTGCCAGAACGGAATTCGTGAGCACGAACGCTTTTATTATTTATATTATATATTTTTTGCTAAATTGGTACAAAATTGATTAAAACCATGATTTCAAGGTAATAAAAATGCCACGAACAACTGCAGTCATTTGAGGTAAAGTACCTGCGGACCCAAGAGGGCGACGTAGTTGCTTTTGTCTCGCGTGCCATTCTCGTAACTCTGATTTTTGTATTTGTAGTGCCCTCCCTCCTCTTCCTCTTCTTCTTCGTCTTCCTCCTCGTCGTACTCCTCGTCCTCATCTTCATCATCGTCCGTCAAATCGGGGAGACCCGCCACCCCAGGCTCTGCGGAAGGTCGTGGCGCCGGCCTCATCGTTGCGAGATTTTTGGACAAGCGAAAATGAGATATTAAAAACATAAATAAAAACAATTATGAAATAATTTTTAATACCATTTTAGATAAAGTACTAGCCGCTGTCGCCCGGGTCGTCGGCGTCGGCGTCGAAAGGCGAGTACGCCCACATCGGCGGGTACGCCGGACGGCGACAGCGTAGCGCGTACCGAATGAACGCCAGCGTGAGCCGGTACCGTGGGTCCTCCTTTGACTTGGGCTTACACACCTGCGTGTCGCAATCAGGCAAAGATTGTTGTTGCGTTTGTGCGATGATGCGTGTGCGTTGTGCGGTGGGTACCTGAAGGTGGTCGGCCTCGGTCTTGAAGAATTCGTCGCGGACTCCACACTCGGCGTCGGGGGCAAAGACGCGCTCGATCTCTTCGGCCGAGCGCAGTGGCTCCTGGCCCTCCTCCCTGACCTCTTCGGCCAGCTCGCGGTTGGGCTTCTCGCCCCGGGTGTCGAACTTCCTTCGCCACAGCGACAGGTGCGGGTTGGCCGAGTCGTCATCCACCACCTGCGCATCACCACATGTCAATTGCGTGTGTCGTGTGTGCCGTGTGTGTGCGGTGTGGTTACCTGGTAACAATTGAAGCGCGTCCCGAAGCAGGTGGCCTCCTCGCCGAAGGAGAGGGTGGAGATGTGCGAGCCGGCCGTGGCGAAATGGCGGTTGAGCTCGAGCAGCTGTTCCGATCCGTCGTGCAGGTCGTCGAGCGCCGGGTTGGCCCGGAAGAGGAGGTGGTGCAGATGCGGGAACGACCACGCCACGTGCTCGACCCCCGAATGCGGCGTGGAATAAAACACTACAAACAACGAAAACGAAGATGAAGGCAAGAACGAAGACGAACGATCAAGGACGAAGAAAGAAGTGCAGGGGTTGGCGGTCGTACCGACGCCCACGGTATTCTGTAACAGCCGCCGGGCCTTGGGGTCCTGCTCGGCGAGTCGTAGTATTTCTTTGACGATCAGCCCGCCGAAGCTGTGTACCACGAACACCACCTTGGGAATGGTTTGCGCGTGAGCCAGCGGCCATTCACCGAGGGACGAGGTGGGGATCAAGCGCTCACCGGTTTGGAGCCCACGGCGGCCATCTTGAGCGAACGGAGGATCTTGACGGCGTAGTGCGATGCGGGCTCGCCTTCGCCGAACCAGCCGCTCAGGTAGAGATCGAAGGCCACCGAGATTATTCGGCCACTGCTGCGTCGTGCGTGCGTGTGCGTGTGCAGTGGTGCGTGTGCGTGCGTGCGTTGGCAAACAGAATTTTAGCAACTTGTCAAGACCGCACACAAGATGCGAGAGCGGTTACGCACTGGGGAAGGTCCTCGGGAAGCCATTCGCGTGGCCAGCATTCGAAGCCCTCGGCCTCGTCGTCCTCAATACCATTGCCCGAGGCCCATGTCGTGAACGGGTGGCCCGTCACTAGACCAAAAGGCGACGGCGCTTGTCAGTATCGTCGTACAGCGAAAGAGCGAAGAACAAAAGCTGAACAAAAACCGAAACGAAACGAAAACGAAAACGAAAAGCGAAGCGAGGGTCGAGGTACCGCCGTGGAGGAAGACGATGTCGTACTGGTGGTCGCGGCTGAATTCTTTGGCCTTCTCTGGATCGGTGAGCGCGTCGAGGCCCGGGTACAGCAGGTGCACTCCCTCCCCGTACTTTGCGCCCGACAGCGCTACAAGGTAGGGCATGGAGTGGTGTTAGCACTCCTGTGTGTAAGGGCATGGTAGGCTGGCTTCGCGTACTGGCAAAGGTGATCGACGCCAGTGCGCGGACGGCGTTCGATCTGGGCACACCAGTTCGTCACTAGGTGAGATTCGCGTGAATGGCGACACACCACCAACACCATCATGCTGGTGGGACACGTACTTGATTGTGGACTCGGGCGATTGGAGCCACGAGTTCAGGATCGCTTCGATGCGGATGTCCTCCTGCAAGCCCTCGGGACCTGACCATAATAAAACGCGCGTGTGCGTGGCCACGGTCAGACGGTCCATCCATCAAGGCAAGCTTGGGCGGAACGCAGCACAAAGCGCCGACGATGATGGTGGCTGGCGTACGGTAGGATGCCAGGTTGGCCAGTGCTCGGGCGGTCTGCTCTCGCACCACCAGGTCCTCGAGTTGCGCCAATTCGATCAGCTCTGACCGGTGGAGCGCGAGCACAGTCGGTGCGAGGTGCTCGTGGGCTGCCATGTTTGCCAACGCGCGAGCCGCCTCGCGTGCGGCCTGAAGACCAGTGGTTAGTCCCAGGGCCTCGTAGTGGCCGCCATCGGTGCCACGGTGGTCCCAGAATGGGCAACAGGGCTCCGAGTGTACCTTGATCGCGAGCTCGGAGTAGGGCGGGATCGGTCGCTGTGAGAGCAGCGCGAGAACACCGCGTTCGGCCACGGCTTTGCTGAGCTCTTCTGCGAAGCGATCTGGATTACGATCGTCGGTCGTCAGCACACAGCGAACTGCAAGAAGATCATGGCTAGGAAAGCATCACGTGCGCACCGTGAACGACGATGTTGGCCACTGCGCGCAGCAGCATCTCGGACAGCATCCATTGCTTGGCGCTGGCTGGTCGTGGGCTGGGAAAGTGCAGAACGCCTGCGTTAATTCGGCAACTCCAGGCACTGGCGCCCGTTTAGGTATTTCCAGATTGTGCGTACCCGTGCTTTGGGAATTCGTCGATCAGGCGCTTGAGCGGCTCAAGCCCAACCTGGGCGGCGATTTCGTTCACAAAGTCCAAACCGTTCATGGCTAATGGTGGCGCGAGACCCAACCGAGCAATGGTGAGCCAACATTGTTCGCGGGCCGTGTGGCTGGCGAGAGGGGAACGAACCGGGTGAGGCCAAGTTGGCGAGGGCAGCCAGGCCGGTGATTTGCATGTTCGGGTCCGGTGACATCAACCAGTTACGTATTTGCCGCAGCCAACCCAGAGACACGAGCCGATCTTTGCACAGCTCTGCACCACATGTATCAGCACCACACACGACACGACACGACACACTACACATGACACACACGGCCCGGTCGTGGTGGGCGTACCGCTCTTCGCCAGATTGGCAATCGCGCGGCACAGCTGGGGCGACGCAGGCCCCAGGCCTCTGGCCATGTCCAAGATCTCCAGTCCGCCCTCCGACATGATGGCCTCCGACAGATTTTCTGTACAGGGCACGATTCACCTGGTTTAGAACAAGCTTGCTTCCAACAATTGAGTGCCAACGAACCGTTCACGGCAACGTTTGCGATACAGCGCGCTGCATGCTCGATCACGTCCCGATTGGCGGAAGTTCGTTGCACCGCGAGGTACAGAAGCGCCAACCCGCCACGAAGCGCCAGCTCCTCCCTGTGCTCGGCTGAA